CCATATAATTTTGAATGTCATTTCATTAAATTTATATGGAATAGTAAATTAAATCTTATTTATCCCATGTAGTTTGATATCTTATTTTCAGATGGCAATGTAATTATAGAAATCTACAGCAGGCAAGTTCCTACTAGCGTCCTTTCGGCTGAACAACTTGGCCATGCCTTGTGGCAGGGAGAAAGGAGAATGTGAAAGCGATGAATAAGCTCTTGGTTTTCAGGAGCTCCTTTTGCCAAGTGGAAAATTTTGGGGAACTAGAGATTCTGCTTTTATAGATGGCCTGTTTGTTCTGTTCTGTTTTTGTGGGGGGTTTTGAGCATATACACCAGTAGATACATCTACCTAACACTGACTTTAGAAGTGTTTATTCTCAAGCAAAATTCATAAGGATTTCAGGATTTACCCTAAAAATATTTTAAAATGTTGTAATAATTCTTAGGTTCGATCTATAGCACTCTGTGAAGTCTGTAGTGATCTAATGAGCTGTACATGCAAAGAGGTTAATGCAGCAATATTGTATTTTGTGCTGTACTCAGAATAAATATCCTTTTTGAATACATCATTAGTTTGTTAGGTGGGAGGGAGAATTAGAAGGGATTTTTGTTGATGACAGCTAAGAAAGAAGCTTTTCATTCTCCAGTAAAACTTTTCTATTGAAATCACCAGTAAAATGAAAATCAAAAATATGATAATAAAGTCAAAATTTGGCAACATTCCAAGAAGCTTAGCTCATTATAAACATGTCAGAGATTTTGTAGTATTTCATAAACTGTACAAAGAGAGAATGTGGTGCAGTATAACTTTGTGCTCCTACAAATTTGCCTGGAATATAAACATGAAACCAACAGAAGGAGATTTAAAAATCTGTGAATTTATTTTTTTTGCCCCTTCTGAATTTTTCACTGAATGTTATTAGAGATTCATGTTAGTTCATCTATAAATAGAATCTAAGTGAACAAATGACACCAAAGTTGAAGCAAACATTTGTCCAACATGTAACGTGCCTGTTTGAAAGCATAAGTAATTATAGTTGCACCTGCAATAAGTATATTTATCTGCAATAACTTTAACTGAAGATTTCCTGTAACTGCTGAACAGTATTTCAGAACACTGTTAGAAATTCTGGCCCCCTTTTCAGTGGCAAACAGCTTCAAACCAGTAATATTTTAAGATTTTCTAAAATGAATTGTTCATTTCAGATCCTGTTCAACGTTTCAGCGGCATTTAGGTGTGGATTTGGATTTGATTATTCTAAAACATTGAATTTACTTTTCATTTACTCTGTTTAGATTTGCTTGTACATTCAGGATATATCACCCACTTAAAAGACTGTTTGTGTAAAAATGAAAAAAAAATCAACTTGTGGTTTATGGTTTTGGTGATTAGATAAGATATAGGAAGAAGAATAGGATACTTTAGAAAGAGAGATTAAATATATATATGTACTTATAACTGCTATGAAGTATATTGGAAGCATATTGTCCTAAATCACTTCTATTCCCCTTTAACTGGATTGTTGGATGCTCAGAGTTATAGAAATGGCTTTGTATGGTTTTCAGACTGATAGCCATCAATGACTTGCTTGCAGAGGCTTTCAAATATTTTGTTTGAGTAGGAGAATATGGTGTGACTCTAAAAATCTGCATGGTCAGAACTTCACTGTGATAAGTCAAAGTCTTGTGATTTATGTAGGACAGGGCTAGCCCAAATCAGTTCTGATCATTTAATGAAATACTAAAGCCCCTGACCCTAATAATTGAATTTAATTGAATTTACCTGAACTAGGTAATTATTTGGCATATCCCAATAGTCAAAAGTATATAACTAACATAAATGAAACAGGCACCAACCTTTGACGTTATTTGTTCATTCAGTCCCTTTATAAGTACCCCATGAAGTTCTGATAACATTTGTCCATATCTAGGTTTATGCTACTAATATTTTTCATCAATATGACTTTTTTCATGATGCAGTTGAAAATTTCCATGTGGCACTGAAGAGTCTTTAGCTGAAAGTTCAGAACTCTGAACGGAGTGAATTGTTTTGACTCTGAAATTATATTAATTTACATAAAGAAATACAATTGTAGAAGCATGACAGACTCCATTCCTCTTAGCCTTTATCTCTTTAGTAAGAACGATTTACAGATTTAAACCTCTGCAAGGGAAATTAGTAGTTTTCATAAAACTAGTAGTGATATCCTGTTTCTCCGGTTCTTCTGTACTACCTGCAATTACATAATTTCATTGAAGTCATATGGAAAATTTGAACAAATAGAATCATCTACAACAGATAGTTTGCAACAGAACAAAGCAAACAGAGCAGGAACCATATGATAATTCAGTATCTTAAGGGTGTTGTCCAGAGAACTCTGTTTTCTCTAGGAATGTAAAGAATGTTTCAAATTCTGACAATTTCAAATTTCACATACTCTCTTTTGAGCTCAGTACATCTTATTTTAAGTTCAAAATAGCTGGACTGAATACCAGATGGTGTTTCAAATGCAAAGGGAACTGTTCCAAGCTCTGAGCGCCAAACATTTCTACTTCAAATTTCAACAGTCTCAATGACAGCTCATTTCAGAACTGAAACAAAAGTTCTGCTCTCAAACAGGATATTTCAAATTCAGAATCTCCTTTTTCCAGTCTAGGATTCTTGAGCTGTACTCGGTGTTCAACTCTCATGAACTATATACATCCTATTAACTCAAGAATTCAAAAACTAAGTTCAAAAAAATGTGAGAAGTCATTGTTAGGGGATGCCAGATAGATTTCCTCATCTAGCTTTCTAGATCTGAAACCTTCTCCCTTGCAAATATCCACTTGACTTCACTTACAGGGCCCCAAACCAAGGCTTGGCAGTAGGAGAACAATAGGATGATGCATTTATCCAGATATCCAGCCTTTTGGGATTATAAAGATCTATATCAAGTCTTTGATTAGGGCTTGGAAATGAATTGGCAGCCAGTACGATTAAGTTATTTGCCAGACCAGATCAGTAGTTCTGAATGTAAAGCTAGTCTATGAACCTGTTTTGGATAGGTGCACACATTGTCTATAGAACAATCTATTGTAACCCGATTTCCAGATAACACTGGGCCATGAACCATGATTTATAAACTACAGTGACTGGGTCCATATATCATACTAACTTGAAATTAAATAACATGCATTACGTTTTGAAGTGATGTGTCAATCACTCTGGTACTCCCATCCCAGGAGCAGTAGCACTGCAACACCGAGACACTCATTTTTTAACATATGTTATGACATTACATACATGTTGCAGCCTATGGACACCTCTGCCTAATAGTGATGAAGGTGCTGTTACAAATACTGGCTCCATTATGCCCATAACTTGCACTCAAAATATATCTAGAAGGCTTAATGCAAAACTAAGAAGTATACAAAATGTTCTGAGTTTGAAACCTTATCCAGGATTCCAAGTTGCACTAAGCCAGCGGTTGTCAACCTGTGGGTCGTGACCCCATTTGGGGTCGAACGACCATTTCACAGGGGTCACCAAACAAGGCTTTCCGCCATTTTTTCCCCTTTTCTTTAGGTGTGCTACTCCCTCTTATTCTATTGGCTTTTGAAAGCCAATAGAATAGACTATTCAAGAGATTCTATTCTATTGGCATTCGAAAGCCAATAGAATCTATTGGCTTTCGAAAGCCAATAGAATAGACTCTCTTGAATAGAGTCTAATTCTATTGGCTTTCAAAAGCCAATAGGAATTGTCCAGGCTATCTCTGCCCTGCTGAGCCCACCAAAAGCCCCAGTCTGCAAACGGTGCTGCAAGGCGAACTTTCTGGAAAGCTTCCTTCCCTGCTGAGCAACTACTAAAAGTAAGTAAAAGAGGGTCAGGGGTGGGAGGTGGGAGGCCGGCAAGTGCAGGGAGGGTTGCTGGCACGCATGGGGCCTGGCAGGTGCCTTACCTGCCTTGGGCTGGGCCAGCTGGTGGCCCAGCCGGTGGTCGGCCTGTGCCATCTCTGCCGCTTGCCAGTTACACCTCGGCCGGCGCAGGGGATGGCACTACACATGTGTGGCACTCCCGGGCAGGGAAATACAGATAGTTCTCGACTTACTACCGGTTGCGGGGTCGCGGCATTAGGAAGGTTGAGAACCACTGCACTAAGCAATTCTAAATTTATCTGTAAGTGCCTTTTGTCATTATGTTCTTTACAGGGAAGTCTGGAAGTTGAGAGATCTGGAGTATAGGTAGAACAAAGCTTGTTGCTTCATATACACTCCCCAGCTTCCCTAGCTCCCACCCTTACCCCTTTGGTGCTTGCCATACTTTTCTGAAAATAACTTTGAACTAAGGCTGTGAGCTTAGACTCTTGGATACGAAGGATAATCTTTGTTCTTTTTCAGCATGGTGACAGATTTCTGTATGTGCATGTGTGTACACACCTATATACATGAACAATAGGGGTGTGAAAACATTGGAATTTGAAATGCTGGAAGTCCAAATCAGTTGTTTGGAGGGTGTGTTTTGTTTCACATTTGAAATGTTCTCTGTACAGCAAACAAGGAAATATAATTGGTACCATTGCTAGAGAACTGAATTTCATTATATATCCATCTCTGTAAATTTGAATGTCAAGCTGAAGCAATTTAACTCTGTGGATACAATCCACCATTGCCTGTTCAAGTATCAACTTGAATGTGTAGAATATTTTGCTTGGTGCGTGCATCTTTATTGATACTTCTGTGTTCCCTCACACACCCATTTTCAAAATGTTAAGTAATTTTCTTTTCACAGTTTATATTCATTGCTCTTAAAAGTAAAAATGCCTTTGAGTCAAGTTCAATTGCCAACAACCACAGGGATATAGTGTGGTTGGCCTATCTAAGTTACCTTCTGAGCCCTGATAATGTTGGCCAAGTGCTTGCTCCTTGCTGGGGATCTTCATTCTTACCATCCCTAAAATATATACAGCTTTTTTAGTTGACAAACTACTTATTTCCCTGCAATTTTTCTCTCTTTTTCAGTTGTGTATGAACATCGATCAAGACTAGAAAAATCTTTACAGAAAGAAAGGCTAGAACATAAGAAAGCAAAAGAAGGTAATATTTACATTTCAGTTGAATTTTAAAAGATTTTTACCAGCAGAGAAATGCTGTTTTGTAGTGTAACAACTCCAATAAGCAATTTAGGGCGATATGCTCCTTTAGAGTTGCCCTGGATTGAAACTGCATTTTTAAAAAAATTACAGACTTTTGAATGCTCTTCCTGGTGGTGGTTGGGTAATATTTCCATAGTGCAGATAAGAGCTGATTGTTTTATGGTTTCTTACCACCATCTAGTGGATAAAACTCATTTTATTTGCAACAGCTTCTCTGCAAACTGAGACATATTTCATTCAACAGGATGGAGCCAAACACTCAATCTGGCTGAATTTCTTGTGATTCTTTTCTGCCAGAAATGACAATAAGCATGGTAGCAATCCAATTAAGAGTGAACATTCTGATGTTTGAAGACTGGGTACATATTGAAAAATCGGGTGCAGACTGAACTATAGGTCTGGCATAGGGCTGAGTTAATCATTTATGCCCTTTTCCAGAGACTAAGGAATTTTACCTCTCAGTAAAGCTAAACTGTAAATAGTTTATTTACACACAAGGATAACTAGATACATATTTTTGTGAATGAACTACATATTATGATTTCAACATTATATTATATACCTGGATATCTGATGCACTCACTTCTATTCTCATGAATTTGCATGAGTTGCATTTAAATCTAGTAGTTATCTATTTTAATCATGACTGAAGTTCTTTTTATTTTAACTGGCACCAAGTGCCATAATTTGGGGTGGGCACTGAGCCACAGGCAGAGTCAGTTTACATATTTATCAGTTCACAGGTAGCGCTGAAGGGTATGGTAATTGAATGAAGAGAAATTGTGTATGGCTGAATTAATGTGTGAAATCTTGACAGTGAAAGGATGTTTGAGGTGGAGTTACCTCCAGAGAGAATAGCTGGTTCCAGGGTTTTATTTATGTATATGTTCCTGAAGATCATTCATTTTTCTCTTTTTATTTTTGTATTTTAGACTTTCTTGTTTATAAATTAGAAGCACAAGAAACATTAAATAAAGGAAGGGTAAGTCAGCAGAAATAATTGTTAAGTTTTTCTGCACATAAGGATTTTATCAAAGCCTCTACTCTTTAAAATTAAAAGAATAATGAATAACATCTAATTGTCTGAAATCTGAATAACCTAAATATATAGTCACTTCCTGAAAAAGAGGCATTTTAAGCAATGGTATGCTCCAGGACTGTAATACTGGGGTTGATGCTTTTAAATATTATAAATGTTCTAGAATGTGTCACCAAATCGACTGTAATTTGGAATTCTGAAAATATTTCTGGTGGTTTTGCAAAATAGTTTTGCAAAACAGATTTGTTTCAGTGTGGTCTAGAAATGCTGGATTTCTACGACCCTGAACTTCCCACAAATTGGGACCTCTAGCAATTGAATTCAACACTTCAACACAGCGCTGAGCCAAGAAAATATGCATCTTAAAATCTGTTTCCCCTGCAAGTTTTCAATTTCCATAGCATTCAGAGAAGTGTCATAGTTATGCCAAAAAGAGTTGAGATCTTATCTAACTATGTGTTTCTTTTTGTTTGCTTGTTTGTTTTGCAGCAAGATTCCAATAGCAGATACAGTGCACTGCATGTACAACACCAGATGCTGAAGGTAAATTCTTGAGTTGTTTTTTTTCCCAATGGTAGGCAATTTATAGCACTGGCAAACAAAGGAAATTTTATATAGAAGCTGTAAAAACAGCCTTAATAAATTTGGCAAAGGTGTTTTACAATCAGCATGGGCACTCCTGCTGGACCTAAAAACTTTTCCTGAAACCATGTGGCTACCATATGGGTTCAACAAGGGTGCCCATGCTAGATTTGGAGCATCTTTTGTCTGCTTAATATTAGAATATTCCATGCCATCAAATGCAAGATTTAACTTGAAAACTGGAGGTCTGTTATCTCTCAAATATAATTCCACCATTGAACCTACCTTCTGCTCCCCTTTTCAGCTATATTAATTAGGCCCACATCTGTCTTTAAACAGAAGATGGGTGGCTGAAGATGAAATTAGGTTTCTAGTGCTATTAAGTATTTGTCAAAATCTCCAGTTAAAAAAATCTTTTTTGGCTTCTAGACGTTATGAAAAGGTTGGCTTCCTGATTGCAAAACGTTTTCCATCCAGTCATCGTCTTTGTACTTTGAAGAGAATTAAAGACATTTTCACAAAGGAAACCCTCACAAACATTTCATATGTTTGATGTATAAGTACAGAAAGCAATTTGGTGTAAAGGTTCATGGTTTGGAGCTTGAACCCCAGGGACCTTCTGAGATAGTACAGTTTCAAGAGGGGATTTTAAGGCTGAAAAATATTCTGAATGATTTGCTGATCTGAATTTCAAGTTATGCTAAACCGTCCTTTAATCTTAATCTGACGGATTCTGTCTTCCCTTTTCTTCCTGTTCCTGTACATTTATGATGTTTTATTGTTATTGATATACACATTGCAGGAGAAAGCACAGAAGAGAGAAAGGAAGAGTATGCATAGCAGGGTTTAAACATTTTTTAAATGTTTAAAAAATGGGTTAAAACATTTTTTCAGACCATTTTTTTTTTTTAGTGGGAGGAGAGAATATTCTAAAAAATGTAGAAAGTATCAAGATAAAGACAGCTGGTTTGGTGCAGTGATAAAGGCTTCAGTCTAGAAATTGAGATACCGTGAGTTCTAGTTCCACCCCAGGCACAAAACCGGCTGCATGATCTTGGGCCAGTCACTTTCTCTCAGCCCAAGGAAAAGAAGGCAATGGCAAACCATTTCTGAAAACTGCAGAGACTTGTCCTTGTACTTACTGAGACTTAGCCATGATTGAACGGAAGGGGGAAAAAAATCAAAATAAAGAAATAGGCCAGAAATGGAATACTGGGAGCATTTCCATCAACACTGCACACCCCGCCTGCCCGCCCCCCCACCGATGTTCATTGTCTCACCCTTAGAGTGATGCTGCATTGAAAATCAAAACAAGATTTGGCAGCTGCACAGATCAAGAAATCCTTGTGCCGTTTTTTTGTTTTGGTTTTGTGCTCTGCAGAACCAGCATGAAGAACTAAAGAAACAGCACTCAGATCTGGAAGACGAGCACAGGAGACAGGAAGATGATTTCAACCGAGCAGTTGATGACCACAAGGAGAAATACGTGCAGTTACAGCAAGAAAAGGAGCAGGAGCTGTCCAAGTTAAAAGGTATAGGAGGATGCTCTTTAAGTAATTTTGGAATTGGACAAAGTAGGCCATCCTCTAGAGTGAGATCTCATTTGGCTATGTAGGTAGGAATTATGGGTTTTTGCAGTTTAATACTGCGGGGGTGGGGGGATATGTTTGGGCAAGACAGGTCTACTCAGGTTAGCATTGAGTTAGTTAATATTTGAAAACATAAATCAGTTAGAATTCATCCTACAAAGATAGGTCTGTTCAAACATTTTTTTGACACTAAATTTTAAACAGAATCCATGTACAATCTGCAAGAAGAAAACAGACAATTGAGGAAATCCCACCAGGATATTCATACTCAGCTGCAAGATGTGAAGGTAAGATCTTGGCCTACTAAAAAATCATGAGTGGTGAGAAAGAGAGAAATACATCTTTCTTTGCAAAGAGGAATGAATAAAAATGTTGCAACAGTGTATGTAACACAACGAGAAAAATGTTTAATCTTTGTGACTTAAGGGAAATATAGTAGACATTCTTTTAAGTACACAATAGTAGACTTTTGGAATTGTTCACACAGATCACCAGTGCACAATTTAACACATCACCACTCTACTCCCTGCCCTCTGAATAATCAAAAGGAAATATAAACATGTTTCTTGCATATAAGCCGTTGCATTGTAATTTTAAAAACTCAGTAAATTACTAAATAAGCCAATATAAGCCCTGGTTTTTACATGTTAAGAAATCACAGTATCTTTAAGTCACATTCTTGGCTTTCATATAGGAATGTGAATTAAATTCTGACTTCCATAATGCTAAATTATGGTTTGGTACATCCATACCCATCACATTGTTCTCTTTTTGAAGTTGGCAGTGTAATAAGTAAGAACTGCAGTACGGAATAATAAGCTAAAGGTGTTAAAGGGGTGAGAAAATAAAAGAAGAGGAGATCTAGTTAAATCTACTTTATACTAATATTGTTCACTCCAGGTACTTCTATCCTTGCAAGTCCTCTTTGCTTCTACTAAATCCATATGGTATTTCATACTATGTTTACCATCTATTTCATCAGCTTCAATTTCTTGGGCTTCTTCTCAACCCATTCATTCTTCCTTCCTATATGTTTTCTGCTCCAGACACATTAATTTTCTCTTATGACTGAACGACCTCAAGATTTTTCATACAAATAGTCCTAAACTGATAACAGAAATTGGGAGCAGAATTTCCTTTGCTAAGTGATGCAGTAATAAAGCCTGGCTACATCTCTTAGCAGCAGCAATCCCTGCAGTCCTGATTGCCATCGTTAATTGAATCCCATGGTTATTAGGCGAGGCAATTTCCTGCTGGTTTCCCACAAGCAAAGTCAGTGGGAAAGCTGGGATGAAGTCGCATGTCCCCAAATCTACAGGCAGGTAAATGGCTACTGGAAGGTGGGGAAGGGAGTGAAGATCCACATGAGGTGTGGCATGGGAAGGTACATGAGGGTGTGAGGAAAGGTAGGAAGGGGTGAGAGAGGCTCCATGGAGGTCAGCGAGGATACAGAAAGACACAAAGGGAAGTGCAAGAAGTGCCATGTGGGTTGGGGAGGGTGCACAGATTGTGTGAGGATGTGCATGGGAGGCATGATGTGGTTCGGAAGGCTGAGGCCTGAGGCTGCTAGGGGGTTCAAAGGGACACTGTATAGGTTGGGGACAGTAGGGCTGGGGTGAGTACACAAAGGTGCAAGAGGGTGTGTGAGAGGCCCTGATGTGTTGGAGAGGGTGTGCTAGAGGTGCCACACAGGTCAGGGAGGGTGTTTGGAGACACCAGTCAGAGAGGGAGTGTGAGAATCTTCTCCTAAGTTGATCATGCCAAACAATCACCATTCCTATTCAATCTTGAGTCTTTTTTTTCTACTGGTTTTGATTCATCCCCAACCTTGCATTCCCATCATCTGTATAACTCTCTGCCCCCCCGCCCCAGCATTCACTCAGAATGTTGCACAGTTTTTCTCAGAATTCATTCCTTGTTTTTTCATTATCACAGTTCACTAGAGCATAACATGCAGCACTTGCCTATAAATTTTCATACAGTCCAAATAATACTAGTTCATACTTTTTGGCATTCAATTTAGCTCTTTTATTCCTAATTGAACTTACACCTTCATGTTCATGCATGTACTGCACAAGATCAAACTATCTTCGTTCTGATCTATTACAGCCTTCCCTTTCCTGTTAGTTTCTCAGGCATACAACGTACCTATTTTTCTTTCTTTCATTCATTTCAGTTATTCATTCCTCCTCTTTCCATTTACTCCATTAACATTCCAAGTCTGCAATCCTCCATAAGCCATGCTTGTTGGGACTATACATAGTTCACAGATTAATTATCCTAGCTTGTAATTCCAGATTTGCTTTATTCCCCTCCACTCTCAAAGAATTGTGAGCTGCAGAATCAGTTTAAGGCTAGAGTAAAAAGGCTGTATCTACAGTGAACATTTGTCTGTGTTCAATTTATAAATGATTGGATAAATAAAACATATAAATATTCCTTGTGGTGTGTTGAAATCAATACAATAATTACCACTAATAGGTTTTTTTAGCAGGTGAAGTTCATAGAAATGTGTAATTGTCCAATCAGTTAGATGGTGGAAGAAACTTCCTTATTTGTTTAGAACTTTTTTTCTCCTGAAATGTATGAGCAAATAATTTTTATTGAGGGAAAATGAGGAATAATACTTTTCTATAGAAATATATGCACAAAACCACTGGTCTTGAGAACAAACTAGCTGGTATCCTAGAACAGAACAGAACAGAACAGAATATGTGTGTATACATGTAAACAATATAACATTAAGCTTTCCTCTCTGGAATTCATTTTAATTAGGAAAAACAACCTATTTAACTTTAGAGGCTATTTGGCTTCTGATATATAAGGTTAATAAAGAATAAAAAGCTAATATTAGCATTTTTTTCAAGCTAAGTCATTTTTTTAAAATGATGGTGTATTAAATAGCCCACAGTTGACTAGATTCAAGCAATAAACTTGTGCACTAAAGTTTGTCAGTCATGGTTTATATCTGTTCTCAGTCTATGTTCTCTAGCTATGACTGCATAAACCCACCCCTCATTTATTAAAGTTTGATAAAATGCATATACAGTGTAACCTCATATTAGTGAATTTAAATGGCATGAATGAAAACCCTGTTATCATTACATCATTTGTCATAAATGGTATAACCCATGTCATTGTATAATGCTGGTGCTGGAGTTATCATATTCTTTGATTTACTAGTGAGAAACAAGAAAGATCCACTCCTTTTAATGTATGTGTTAAACTGATATTTTACTATATATTTAATAAAAGCAAGGTTAAAAAGAAAGTGAGAAGTCAGTGGTTGACAGTCCCCTTAAGAATATCTTTTGGGCTTTGAAGAAACACGTGGGCTCACATTTGATGTGGTATTTTCTTTTGTGCAGTTTCAGCATAAGAATTTAATCTCCCAACAAAACCAGCTTGTAATGACACTGGAAGAACACAAGAGCGCACTAAAAGCTGCGCAGGTCAGCCACCAAATCAGCATTGCATTAGCAGTGGTGTTTTTCTTTTCTCTAAATCTTCTAATATTTTTGGCTTCTTTTTTTTCCTGCTGATCGTAACTTTTATGCATGCAAGCCTGGGTCCTCTGATTAATAACCAGCTGCCCTCTTGGGGCAAGATCTGCATACCTAGAAGGATTTCTGCTATACCAGAATTGTAAACCAGCACATTTGATTTTGTCTCCTGACATCTGATCCTTCAATGGACTTTCTCTTTTGAAGCTAAGAAACCAGTGCCACTGACGTCCAAAACTATTTTTATTAGAACAGCTATAGTAATATGCAGGTAGTCCTCAACTTACAACCAGTGAATTTTGCCCCATTTTATGACCTTTTTTGCCACAGTTGTTAAGTGAATCACTGCGGTTGTATAGTCTGAGACTGTAGAGATGGTAGAAATCATTTTGCAAGACTGAATATATTTTCCCCTCCCCTTCTCATTTTATTTTCATGTGAATCAGGGAGGGGGGTTGAGATGTTTCCTCAAATTAGTTTCTTGGAATAGATTTGAGCCCTTCCTGCATGCGATTGTTACTTTGGTAGTGATTCTTCCTCTGTCCTTCAAAGTCATTCCTTATTCCAGGGGTCTTCAAACTTGGCCCTTTTACGACTTGTGGACTTCAGCTCCCAGAATTCCTCAGCCAGCGTGCCTGGCTGAGGAATTCTGGGAGTTGAAGTCCACAAGTCATAAAAGGGCCAAGTTTGAAGACCCCTGCCTTATTCATTCTACTTTGAGAGTTAGAGTCTGCCTCATTTCTGCCACAGCTGCAGCTAGGTAATTTACACCTGGATGTAATGAATATTTCTTACCTAAGAGTAATTATGTTGTTACTGTGAGGTAAGATGGGCAGCCAATAGATTTGACAAATAAATAAGCGTTGTTGCAGGGAAGTAAAAATTAAAAGGAGCAGCATACCTAATCTGCTATCCTAATTATATAATATTAGCAAAACTAAAGCTGAGGGGGCCTTAATAAGTCCTTGTGTCAGGCTGGAGAGCTGGAAAGTAGTATGGGAGACAACTTTCCTCTCCTCCTTCCTATCATGGCAGCTCTCTGCATCTCCCATCATATCTTCCTCTACACTTTGTAACCATAGTGAAGCTGTGTTGATAAATATATTGTAGTTTGTTTTGTATGGGCATATGATTTAAATTTCAAAAAGGGGGAAAAATAAACAGATAGCAACAGAAAAAAATCCTTATCTGTTTTCCTTTGCCTGTCCATATCATCTTTTCTTTATGTATAACATCTTTTTTTTCCCTTGAGGGAGAACAGACGTAGCAGGTCCCAGGACTTTGATGCCAATTCCATTGCTTCTGCTTTATCAGCAAAGGCTGGTCATGATACTTTCCCTACATTTGGATTAAATGTCTTCTATTTGGCATTAAGATAAAACCTGTCATCACTGACATCAGCAGAGCCTTTTCAAAACCTCTTAAGGTTTAATTTCCTATCAGCTGCTGATTGGAGATGAGAGCTTTTCATATCAGGAAGTGGATGAGGACAGGGAAACATGCTGGTGGGGTATATGTAGAAGCATTATAGCTCTCTTGGTTTAGGAACTCTATTGCAGTTGCTTCCTCAACATCAGGTTTTGGTTGTGACAATATAAAAAAGATGTTGAGACTCTAGAAAGAGTGTAGAGAAGAGCAACAAAGATGATTAGGGGGCTGGAGGCTAAAACATATGAAGAACAATTGCAGGAACTGGGTATGTCTAGTTTAATGAAAAGAAGAACTAAGGATGATATGATAGCAGTGTTCCAATATTTGAGAGGCTACCACAAGGAATAGGAGGTCAACCTAATCTCTAAAGCACCTAAAGGCAGGAAAAAGAAGCGATGGATGGAAACTAATCAAGGAGAGAACCAATCTGGAACTAAGGAGAAATTTCCTGACAGTTAGAACAAATATTCAGCGGAAGAAGTTGCCTCCAGAAGTTGTGGTTGTTCCAACATTGGAGTTTTTAAAGAACAGGTTGGACAACTATTTGTCTGAAATGGTATAGGGTTTCCTGCTTGAGTAGTGGATTGGGCTAGAAGACCTCCAAGGTCACTTCCAACTCTTGTCATTCTGTCAATTCAGCTAGAGTAAAAGACTAAGCTTTATTGGAAACAGTTTACCAGCCAACATTAAATAACTGAAGCATTGATTGGCAGAGAACACCTCACAGTATATCAGGCTTTTCCTATGCCACCATTTGCCCAATAGCAATCAGGATTTCCTTTTTTCACCTTTGTGTCCCATGGACATTATATTATCTGTATTATTCTTGGCATTATCTCCCACAGTGGTTGACAAAGCATTGTCTTCCCTTTGAGATTTCTTTTTTCTGCAATTGCTGATATGAATCTGCATTGTCCATAGGATGCCTGTGACAAATTCACCAAATGGAAACATATAGGGTAGATATCAAGGATCTGGGTTGTTTTCTTTGTATCAAGGTAATGATGAACTTGTGTGGTTTTTTTTAAAAAAACCTTTAAACTATTGCTCATAGTTTCCATCTACTTGGTGAAAATAATTTTATTTTTATTTATGTAGTTTTATAATTTTTCCCATGCTCTCTGGCAGTGCTAATTTTATTGGGTGCTTTATAGTGAAAAGTAAGCCCAGTTTAAATGTTTGATAGATAGATGATAATTGTAGACCTTCATCCTTAAAATATTGTATAGCAATAGCACTTAGATTTATATACCACTTCACAGTGCTTTATAGCCCTCTCTAAGTGGTTTACAGCATATTGCCCCCAACAATCTGGGTCCTCATTTTACTAACCTTAGAAGGATGGAAGGCTGAGTCAACCTTGAGTTGGTCAGGGATTGAACTCTTGGCAGTGAACTGAACTAGCCTGTAATACTGCATTCCAACCACTGCACCACCACGGCTTGTAGGCATAGGTATAACACAGGGACATATTGCATAAAAGCCAATAATCACTGCTACTCCATTCACTCAAACATGTCTTCTTTTCCGTGAGGCTATTAACGTTAACTCCACATGCAGCCTTCATCACATGGATTTATAGGGAGTTTTGAACTAGATGGAATCTATTGGTGTGGCTCCATCACCAGGCCTTGCTCTTGTGACCTAGTAATCATGCTGGAGAATGATCAGTAGTTTGTTTCAGGGAACTGTTCTGTCACCTTTCCCCACCCCTGTATTTTATCAAGAGTCACTCTTTTTAAATACTATAGGCAGCAGCAGGCTGGATTTAGCAAGGTAATGTTCTCTAGTCCCTTACTCTCCAGATTTCTCCAAGAGTTCCCAAGTAGAAGTCCTGGAGTCTGATCCATTCTTAAACAAACACTTTTGTTTAAAAAAGGAAGGCCTATCCAACTGAACAAGATAGTTTTCCTTCCTTCCTTCCTTCCTTCCTTCCTTCCTTCCTTCCTTCCTTCCTTCCTTCCTTCCTTCCTTCCTCCCTCCCTCCCTCCCTCCCTCCCTCCCTCCCTTCTTTCCATTTCATTCCATGATCCTTTCTGTTTGTGGATGGTTTTTTTTTTCCCTTCCCAAAGATTGAAGGAAGATGTAATAATTCACTACTGACAGTTTCTTCTTCTGCGTGGCATGAAAAACTAATCCCATTTCTGGGCTATGGGGATTTTCTGTTCAACTTTGCATGTCTGCTGTAATATATTAAATTGATGCACTCTACAGCATAAAACGATGTAGCTTTAGCACATGGACATTTTTGATCAAATGTGCATGTTTAGTTAAAATACCTGCATCAGCTCGGAGCCTCTTGCTTCCCTGCATTTATTACTGAGACCAGCTTCTCTGTCAGTGAAATCTAATGGTTACATTTGATTTCTAGTCTCAGGTGGAAGAATACAGGCAGTTGAAGGACACCTTAAAAAAGATGCCCAGTTTCCAGAAACCTGAAAAATTTGAGTCGCCACATGGTTTGCCTGTGACACCTGTGCCTTCTCCTCTGAGTGATTCCAAAACACAGGGCACAGATGCCGCTAAAGAGCAAAAAGAGGTAATATGAACTGACTGTATTAAGGCAAAGCAATCTTATTTAATCATCATCATGGTTATTAGCATTGATACAGTGCTCTGAACATTATTGCAGTAGTCCCTGTAACAATCCTATTAAAAAGGTCGCTGTTATCATTGCAAAGGGCAGGAGAAGAGAAGCTGAGCAGGACAAATGATTTAATCTAGATATCACATTAAACCACAGTTAAAAAACCTTGAATAGCAGTTCCCTAAGATAATTTTTTTTCACTCAGCCAGGATATAAAAATTGAAACTTTAGTCCTCAGATAATGAATTGTGACCATTATGGCATTATCAGCCTCCAGCTATGATAAAGGACACTTACTTTATTCCACAATTATTTCAAGTTTTTGGCCATAACAAGTATCTGATTTACATCCAAATTTAATACTAGCTCCCTCTTAGGGTAAGTGAAAAATTGCCTAAAAGTGAAACTTACCTACATCTGAGGGAGAAAAAAGCCTATGAATTAAGAAAAGTACTTTCAGTTACAGGTTCTGGTGTATTTCTTCGTTTTCTGCTGCTGAAGTTCTCCATTTTCAGATGTAGGCAGGCCACAAACTGCTTGAAAATATACAATAGGATGAAGGATACCAGAAACTGCCAATTGGCCATTGAGTATAATTATTGACAACAGAAAAAGACAATTAGGACTATCTTCAGTAAACGTCGTCTGGCCAGAATTTTGGCATCCACCCTGAAGCAAGACCCATTTACCAGTTTTACAATGGTCATTTTGAGTAATTTGACCTGATTCCATTTTTATGCAAATGACTTCAGTTAAGCATTGTACATTTTTCACATCTTAATGCATAGATAATTTTTATTAAGGGTTTTAATTACAATAGTAAAATTTAATACAAACTAAAAGACTTTTAGAAGAATAGAAAAAAAAGAATGAAAGGTGCAAAGGAGAAGAAAAAATAGAAAAGTAAGAACAGAGTAGAGAGAGAGAGAGATAAAAAAGATATGTAAAGTGACTTCCAACCGTCATCACAAGTATACACCATTTTTGTAACTCTGCACCCACTTAATTTACACTCTGAACCCACTTATTTTACAACCAAAGTTCTCTTCATACCATATCTCATCTCTTACAGACAAATCCATTAAGCATAATCTTTTCAGTCCTTCGATCCGCAAAAAGTCCATTAAGGGTATCAGATTCAGATAAAATGATGGTGGCAGTTGTAGTACAGAACATGAAGAAGACACCAATTATTATTCTACCTTGGTTGCTATGACAAATTCAGCTTCATAAATACAGCAATAAGAATTGCAGAATTTAACCATAGTGGTACCTTGGTGGTACCTCAACTGCCTTGAAACTCATCGAATTTGGTACTCAATGCATTTTTATGCAACAATGTTGTCCCGGTACTCATCTGACAAAGTAGAACTTGTCAGTGTCGGCTGTCTTGGACTCACTATATTATTCCATACGAGAGAAAAATTGTTTGGTACTCATTGTGCCTCCCAGAACCAATTAACGATGAGTACTGAGGTACCAGTTGATTGTTAAATCAACATAAGGTGAAAGGACAGTGGTGAAATGTGATTTCTAGATGTTCAGATTTTCAGTTATGGAAAAGCATTTGTGTTATCTGGGGAGGGCTGTTTGCATAGCCAACACTACGATGTAGGACTTATTTTGTTATGTGTGTCTAAAGTATAAAAGAATTCAGCAGAAAGCTGTCAGAAATGGCCAGTCTTCATTTAAAATGACATAAAACATAAATATTCATTAAAAATGTTTCTTTGGGGATTTTCATGTTTACTGAGCTTGATTTTCCTTTTGCAATTGTCACAATTAATGAAATGTTTGCAAGAAAAAAGCCGGCTTTGTGAATAGCAAGATTCCGACATTTCAACCCTAAGCTACACATATTCTCCACTATTGCTATCACAAAAAATGTTCAGACTTAGTTACCTAAAGTTGTCAGAAGGTTTAGCAAGGATATTTACAGAGCAGGTCCACATGAAATTATAGATGACTCTGGCCATAACTCTTTGGCCTGTTGGAGATCAAGAATTTTCACTACTCCAAATAGAGGATGATGATGGTTTCCAAGTAAGGACATTCAAAATGGTCAATTTGTACCTTTGTTGGGCTAATCGGGGGTCTTCTGAATAAATTCTACAGTATATGTTTGACATCAGAATGGTAAGTCAGCATGGGATATGTTAAGTCATAGCCCAGGATAACTTAAAAGGTAATAGATATTTCAAGAACAAAGCAGCATAGTATACCAATACACACAAAAGTAGTCCACACTTATCAACCACAGTTGGAACTAGCAACTCCACTGCTAAGCTGCACAGTTGTTAAATGAAACATCACACTTAACAACATCAGTTTTGGCTGCAGTGAATTACCTCAGATCTTTAAGTGCAACATCCCATGTGCTCGCCATTTTGTAATTCACTTTACTTGAAGCAGTTGTTTGCCTTCCATCAGGTGACAGAATCTGGATATCATATCTGAAATGTCTAATTCCTGATCATCTACTAGGCAGTTATCCTCCAACCTGCCTAGATTTACTTCTCACCACATAAGTAAAGATGGCATTGAAAAGAAAGAAATATTGCAAAAAAAAACACTACCCTCCCAAAGAAAAAATGAGGTCGTATTACAATGAGCCAATGTAAAAGCTTTTCTGATATTTGGGGTTGTGATCTTAAATAAATAATGGGCAGGACTGCTCTCTGAGTGAAGTAAGGTGAAGCCTAGTTGAAATACAGGTGGTCCTTGACTTATGACCACAATTGAGCCTGGAATTTTGGTTGTAAATTGTCATGGCCATTAAGCAAGACATCTACATGACTATCTCACTCAATGATCACAATCCAGCCCTTCCCATGCCTCACTGGGTGGGGGAGACCTTGGTAGTTCTGGGATGAGGAAATTTGCCAGAAACATTCAGGCCTCCTGCCTCCCCACCACCACTCCTGGTTTCTTCCTTCCCTCCCCACTGGCCTTCTCTCTGTCCTACCACAACCAGGTCCACTTACCTTTCCTTTTCCTTGTAGCTACTGACAGGTGCATCCAGCCAATGCAAAGCTCAGCTAGAAAGCTAACAACTGCAGTTTTCATCAAGGCTGGAGAGGCAATCTTTCTTAAAGCTGGCCAGGAAAAGGAACTCCACTAGCTGACTTTCTACAGCACTGCAGCAGAATACTTAACTTATTAAGTGTTAATATTATTAATTGATACTAGGCAGAAATATTAATGCAAGGCAGAACATGGGCAGAAAATTGAATGGATGGATGATGGAAAACAGAGTATCCTACCTCACATAGTAAGCGTAAACATGTGCACGGAGTCCCATTTGACATCTTTAATGTAATTGGCAGATACGCCCACAATTGGCTACTACTGTATATTGGATATACCAACTTATCAGAAAGCTTTCCACTAGAGTTGTGTAAATCTTTCACAGGGTACTTCATGTCAACAGTATTTCAAAGTTATCACTTGAAGTTTGCTTGGGTTTGTAGGTAACACTATCTATAAATCAGTTTCTATGCGTCCTGAGCACTTGGGCAGGATGCTCTTCTGGTGTTTCTAGTCAGTGACTTTTGTACAAGTTGCAGCTGAACAAGTCACTGCCAGATATTGGGCCTGTCATTTGAGGCTTCGGAGTGATACAGAGCACCTTGTTGAGGAGAACCACATGGTTTCTTTGTCTTAATAAGGAAAATTTTTATCATTTCTTCAGTGTAAAGCAAGTTGATGAGGAAAGTGAAGCTGCTTGGTTTACTTTTTTCTCTGGTGTCCTTTTGGGACCTTTGTGGAGCTCAAAGCCATTCTATAAATAAATATGATATCATATTTCGTTCCTTGGTCTTTGTTTTTGTATTGCTTTATTGTTATTTTTCTGTATTTTACTTAGTGAACCTCACAGAATTGTTGAGAGTTGGGTGGTATACATATTCAATTAATATGTACGTAAATAAATGGCTGGTGCTTCGCTTTACCTGCCTGCCTGCTTCCCGTCCATCCATCCATCCATCCATCCAAAAGGCATCTGGGAAGGGAAGTGTCCAGGCATTCCTTAGCAGTGGTAGGCACTGCCTACCTACCCACTAGAACAGTGGTTCTCAACCTTTTTAATGCCGCGACCCCCAACTGGTCGTAAGTTGAGGACTACCCAACCAGTCGTAAGTCAAGGACTACCCAACCGGTCGTAAGTCGAGGACTTTCCCTGCCCGGGAGCACCGCACATGCGTGGTGCCGCCCCCTGCGCCGGCCGAGGCGTAGCTGGCAAGGGGCAGCGACGGCGTAGGCCGACCACCGGCTGGGCCACCAGCTGGCCCAGCCCAAGGGAGGTAAGCCACCCTCTGGGCCCCACGTGTACCAGCAACCCTCCCTGTGCCCGTCGGCCTGCCACCTCCCACCCCTGGCCCTCTTTTACTTACATTTTTAGTAGTTGCTCAGCAGGGAGGGGTGGAAACTTCCAGACAGCTCGCCTTCGCTGCAGACAACTTGCAGCACCGTTTGCAGAATGGGACTTTTGGCGGCTCAGCAGGGCAGAGACAGCCTGGACAATTCCTATTGGCTTTTGAAAGCCAATAGAATTAGACTCTATTCAAGAGAGTCTATTCTATTGGCTTTCAAAAGCCAATAGAATAAAAGGGAGTAGCACAGCTAAGGAAAAGGGGGAAAAATGGCGGACTGCATTGTTTGGCGACCCCCGTGAAATGGTTGTTTGACCCCAAATGGGGTTGCGACCCACAGGTTGAGAACCACTGCACTAGAGTGTAAACATATTTGTTATCTGTTTCAAAAAATTACTAATCCTAACTTCCTAAAAGCAATCTGTCTTTGGTCACCAGCAATGGTGGAAGTTGTATCAGCCATCCTTCCCTTGGTGTCTCTGCTTTCTTCTGCTCTTGAGATGTACATTTCTTCAGATGCAGAGGATTTTTCATCAACATTTTTTTTGGGGGGGAGGGAATTTCCTCCCCCCCTAGGTTTTATTTTTAATTTTCTTTTGCACCTGAGAAGGAGAATGAAGCTCCTTCCAGTTGACCCATGAACAGCTAAGGTGGCCAAAAGAGGTGGTATCTCTTTGCTTATTTTTCCTTTCTCTTTCTCTCCCACTTTCAAGGTCACAGTATGCAATAATGCAAAGCATCTTGGATATGGATAAGGCTGGGATTTTCTAGTTGGGCTGTTTCCGACCTTTGTTGCTGATTTAAGACAGCTTTTCAGTGTTTTCCAGCATAAAATGGTAAAAAAAATGTGCCATTGATTTTCAGCAACTATTACCATCTTGTCCTATTTAACTATAACAAGGGAACAGGTTGTGACCCAGCATTTGTTACCCTATTCATGTTTTTTGTCCCTCCCTGTTCCATTTGTATCAGTTTGGGGGAGATGTTTTAATTGGAAGACTGGTTGCTTGCATCAAGAAAATGCAGCCCTTGGTCTAGTGGTCTGTAACATAAAAGTATGAATCACAGCATTGATTTAGCTTAGGTTGCCCAGGCTGGAAGTAATCAGAAAAAAGACCTTTGTGTCTTTTTTTTTCCCCATAGCATATGGACAACCATGCATATATGGCCCCTCTCTGAATGCTTGTGTTTAATAAAACATTGATAGAGATCTTTGCTCTTTTCAAATGTCACATTATTATAGTTTAAGCAAGGTGAAGCAGTCTAAATTCCAGATATCATCTTGTTTGGGTATAAACAGCTTCAGTTTTGTTTTCTAATGAAAATCTGTAAGTCTGCTTTTTTTCTTTTCTTTAAGATTGGAATGAAAAAAAATAATGAAATCAAAAAAGAATAAACGGCAGGGATGGGTATTTCAGATCAGTAAAATATAGCTCTAGGAAGTAATTGTGGGATTGAGGAAAATGGGTTTCAAGAATGTTACTGATATGGGACATTAGCTGTGAAGCAAAAATACCGATTTGCATAGGCAAATTGAGTTTTTTTAGGGCTAATTTCACACATGAACGTCTACCTGTTGATGTCCCAGCTCTTAATGTCTTAGCAGTCTGATTCCCAACGATGGGAAGGAATTCAGTGCTGAAATTGCTACCAGACTCTGCTTAATATGACCTTAATTCCCGAGTCATAATAAATGATGGGAAACATCTGTTTCTATCTTTGATGAAATATGTACATGTAAATTTATTCTTAAATATCTATTCACGTTGTGATGGATTAAAGTCTAGCATTATAATACAGCAATTTCTAGCCAAATAGTTTTAGAGAGTAATACAGGTTAAAGCTAAAATTGGGTTCTGTAAAGATTCCACTTAATTTGTGTGTAATAAGTCCAATAATTATTTCAGTGCTCACTTTGTCTCGGAATAAAGCTATTTCCATTAATAAAACATGGCAACATAATTCCCTGGACCTTACAGGGTTGTCCCCTGTATATTGTATTTACCTTCCTTTTTCTATTCTTGATCCTTAGGCTATTCATCTTGGAGAATGTGAATTGACTGAGGGATAGCTTTTGAATTATGTAAGATGTGTATCGAGGCACACAAGTACTTTCTTTAAAAATGCCTAAATTCCTTACAGCAAGACATTATAGGCAAAAATTGCAGTAAAATGTTTAAAAATGATCCTTTGCCCTAGTTACATTTAAAAAAATAATAATAATAAAAATAGTGTGAAATACATCAACAGTTTAGCCAACAATCTGGATTTCTTCTAAACAAGATAAACAACTTTTTTTTTAAAAGGAGGAAGAGCCACAAATGGACAGCATAGAAATGTGGGTAGGCTTAAGACAAATGAAAGTGGAATTAAAATTGAAATAATTAAAATACAGTTCTTATAATTAATTCTCTTATGGTTATTATAATATTAATTATAACAATGTGTTTTTATTTATTTCTTTTAGTCATTAAACCTAATTCAGTAGCAACTGTTTGGAGGATCTCTGGAGCCATGTTCAAAGATCCATTTCAAGACCCTAGACTGAGTTTTTAAGTTCAACAAAGCTCACAGCAAAAATAAATGGAAATGCTTATGTTTTTATGGCCTTTGTAAACAAAAATAAAAAACAGAACATTTGTTTTAGGGACATAAACTGAAAAGCAACCAACCTTTGTCTTTCGCCATTTGCAGCTTAAACGGACCTATTATCAGTGAACTATCACAAAACGTACATAGTCTCCTAGGGATGTAAGCAGTTCATAGATGATCCAATTCTAAACTACCTCGCCTTTTAGCAGTAAAAAGTAACATTTTGAATTTTGTATTTTTCACCAGGCAAAACTTCCAAAACTCCTTTCAAAAGCTGTTCTATTTTTCCCTTCTCTGCATCACTGTAGACATTTTTTATGATGTATATTCTGACTTTCACAATGTATCTATCGTGATTTATATGCTGATGAGATTAATATTCCTCCAGGAAATCTAGGTACCATACACAAGAACTTCTTCCTCCATTTTTTTCCCTGTAATAGCAAACTACAAAAAGAAAGAACAACAATCTTGCAAAGTAGATTGGACAAAGCGATAATATCTGATCTGAAGTCATCTAAATGAGCTTCCATGGTTGAGGGGATCTCCCCAATTCTAGCCCAATATTATAACTGCCACATCAGACCATTGAAAACTTGACAGGAAATAAATCCCTTGAAGTTCAGTGTATAGTCCAGAAGCATATTGTTTGAAACTAACCTCTCAGATTTAATGATTTATATTATTGTAGATTATGCAAAATGGTGAGCAATCACAAGGGGGAGAAGAGGCTATTAAAGTAAGCCCTAGGGAAGGAAGAGAACAGACCGAAGAACTTTTTCATCCTGACAGAAAAGTGATGGAAGGTCACGGGCCACGGGAATTAAATATTCAAGAAAAGCAAGAAGCAGGAGAAGATGAGGAACAACATGTAGAGCAAGATGAAGAAGAGCAGAAAAAAGAATTAGAAGAAGAAGAAATGGAGCAAGCTGGGCAACCAGAACACTTAACAGATGATCTCGATCAAATCCCAGAAGAGCATGAATGGAAGGAGAAAGAACAGACTGACGAGGAAAACAACACGGTTGGAGAACACAACCATTCACAGGTGGGCCCCCTTTTCCCCATAAGAATATTTGCATGTTTAAAAAAGCAGTTTTCCTCAAATCAAGTTTGACTCTTGGTGGACATCTTCATATTGTTCATGGACATCTTCATTGTTCTTTCTGTGGCAATAATGAAAATTATTTGCCATCTTTTTTTTTTTAAAAAAAAAAACTTTTCTGTCTAGAATACAACCTTAGGACTTCTTGTGATTTCCCATCTGAGTGCTAATGAAGTCTGATTCTGCTTAGCAATTCTGAGATTGGCCAAGGCTGGTTAAGTCTTAGAACCATTTGCAGGAAGTAAATCAATTGGCCATCTTTGATTATTAAGATACACTTATTGAGAATTTTAGGTTATCATTGCTTGGCAGCAACCTCTGGGTGCCTCCTGCCATTGATAGTGGTTGGATTAATTTGTACTTAATGGGGAAGAAACAGCTGTTGGATTGTACACTAACTTGGACTTCATTGCATTTGTAACAAAAAGGCCAATGTAATGGTATGAGGGAATGACCTTGGGAGAAAGGGGAAGAGTGCAGCCAGGGAACATTCAGATAAGAGGCAGCTTAGTCCACAACAGGAATGTGAGTGTGGCAAATATCTCAGAAAGGACTCTTCCTAGATTCTTGGGTTGAAAAGGCGATGTGGAAAAAATGTACTTTCAGACTGGCAAGACTAATGTCTGCCCTGCAATATAATCCAGAAAAAAAGCATGCCCAGTTCAATTAATTCTACTTTATTGTATGGATACATAAACAGAATCTTGTTAGTCTAAAAGGCAGATTTTTTACTTGCAGATTTCTCTTTACGAATCCAGAATGCTCTTTCCTCCACCTTGGTGTAACTTAATATTTTGGCAAATCCTTTCATTTAAATATGATATGCAGCCAGCAGCCAGAATCCCAGAGGTATAGTTTATGCAGGTCACATTTTGTACAGAAGTATAAATAGAACTTGTCAAGAAATTCTTCTACTTTCTAGGTCATATCTTGGGGCAACAAAATATACTTTTTCGTTTGTTTCAACTGATTTTCAAATTGAAGCTTATACAGTGTGCCAAGCCCTCCTGATGTTTTCAGGCTTCTGAAACTATTGTCCCAATGCCAAAATTTGATGTTGTCTATATTGTTCCTTACTATTCATTCTAAGGAAGAATAAAATGATAGAAAGTTGAACATTTAATCTAGCTCATAAACATTTAAAATTGTCATATCTCTCTAGTCATCCTTGATTTCTGCTGCCAAAGGATGTATCCAGACTTTCCATTCAAAGTCTGTCCTACACCTATTTCAAACTGTTGTCTTGTTCAGCCTAATATTGTTTTCGCTGGCTCTTGAGGAATGAGAGCTTTTTTTATATCATGAGAATACCTTGTCTTGAGAAAAATTAGTTGTGGGTGGGTATAATAAATGTAAATGAGGAAGGGGTGAAGTTTAAGTAATTAGTATTGGAGCCATAGCCAAATGTGAGTGAGGCCATGTAGATTTTCTGGGATTTAATATGGCACTAATTAGGTCTGTTTCCCTGTCTCTTTTCCTAAGTATGACACAGTAATAAATTTTTCTTACCAAAAGCTGGAATTACAGAGGGCTTTGAAAATGAGGCTACAAGTTGACAACCCCTTGTTTAAAGTTTTATGCATATGTTTTTCTATGCCTTCTGGGATGCCAAAGTGAATTTGGGGTCTCCTGCATGCAAAACAAAATGTTACATTACTTGAGCGATCTTATATGTGTGTTCCGCCAGGAGCCACCCACACCAAAGACTGTAACAAGGTACAAATTGCCTTATGAGCAGCAGCTGGAGCAACAGAAGCTGGCTTCCCGGAGAGAAGAAGAAGCCAGCCGCCTCAGAGAGCACCAGGAGGCTCTGCATCACGAGAGACTTCAGGAACAGTTGCATCGGCAGCAGCAACTTGAAGAGAGAGAGCTGATGCTGAGGAGGCAGGCCGAACAGGATGAAGAACAATTTAAGCAACAGCTCAGGTTGTCTTTGCCACAAATACTCTCTGCCCCGCCCTCCCATACCTGAGAAAGGAAGAAAGTTTAATTGGTCAGAAAAGTCTAGACTTGCGAAATTCTTAGAATGCTGGCCCCATTTTGATTTTTTTCTATTTCAGGGTAGTAAATAATAGGTACATAAACAAGGCCTGAGAGGAACACAGGCAATTCTCTAATGAATTGCCTATCTAACAAGTAACTGTTTACAAGATGGCATTTGTAATGGTTGCCCTCAAAAAGGGACTTTTAAAGTTTTCAGTATTGGGATTGTGTGTCTCAAATGGTCTGCAAAAGAATGCCTGTGTATCCTTTATGAATCCTTTAAATGATTCATATGGCATTGTTCCACTTCACCATTGTTTGTATAAACTATGAGCAGATAAAGTCAGGCAGACAACAGACACACAGAATACATGTATCTTTGTATATACAGTACACTGAGATATATTACTGTCTGTTTTTTATGCTGATTTTTTTTTCCTGTGGAAGGCAGCCCTATTATTGGCACTGTTTAAACCAGAGATAGCACCTTTTTGATATAATAGTCACGTTTGGGATTTTGAGAACATTTCTTGGGTTGTTCTCACAAAATCGTTGCCACTTGGAACTAGTTTACTAGAAAGCAAAAACAAAAACATTAAATTGTTTGCTTCTCAGCTTCTACTCACTACCACCCTCAATGCTTTCTACCTCCCCAACGTACTTTTCTATTATTTAAGGTAAATGTAGAGAATGCTTCTTCATAAAGCACTAGACTGCAGCCACCATTGGGCCTAGACAATGTTGAAAACAGTTGTGGTCCTAGAGGATGAAGCTTTCCATTTATTTGCATACATTTGTTTCTTCAATTTGGTTAAGGTTTAAGGGGAAAGTTATTTTACGTAAAGCCAAATGGCAGACACCAAGTAGCGTGCGTATTCCTAGGCGTAAAGAGATACTAAGAAAGATTCTGCTGTTTTTCTGCTGTCAACCAGCAATCCATCTCAGACTTCTTTGGAACGATTTATTACTTGACAAATTGTATAGAAAGATTGGAAGTAGTGGGAAAAATTATCATAACCGTCCTTTGAAACTCCAGCAATTGGTGAGCTGGATGGACTGGTGCTCTAATTCAGAGTAAGACATGTTCCTATGTTTCTTTATCAATAGGATGGGCTTTAGTTCAGAAGGAGAGATCATGTTTTCCTAATAAAATAGGAATTCGTGAGATGGAACATCTCAAGTTCAATTCCTGGCCTCTTCAAGTAAGGTTGGGAAGGAATTTTGTCTTAGACTTTGGAGAACTACAGATAATTATATTATACTGACCTAAGTAAATCAAGAATTTGATGGTATTTTTTTTGTGTGCGTGTGCTCATTCGTCCACCTTCTGGGTAATGTTAAGCCAGCCTGGAGCAAAAAAGAAACATAGCATTAATCACCCCACATGTTGTATATCAGAAAGGGTTCCTTCTGTATGAATCTGAATTAACAGACCTTCCAATCATTTCAGCCAGCAATCCCATTATGACAATGTAGATCAGGATATCGTGCAAGGAAGAGAAGCAGGTGTACATAAAGAAGATGAAAGTAAGTAATAATTATCTTCCCTGTCAACAGTTTGTCTTATTTTTCTGATACTTTTTTCATAGGATTTATATCCCACTTAAGACAAGTAATAGCATATAATAGAGCTTAACCATTAAAAAAATAGTTTAAAATTACCATTAAGCTGAATTCCATCTGGAAAAAAAAATCTCTTGAAACAGAAATTATGGAATATTTAAAATATAAATATTAACATAACCATTTTATTGGTTGATCATTTCCAATATAGGCAAAAGACACTTAGCTTATGAGTAGAATGTGTCATTTTTTTTGGTGTTATGATTTTCACACTGCATCCAAAGCTGAGATGCTGTTTTTAATGCTGTTTCCAGCTGTGGAATTAAGCTTGTGATGGTGCTTCCTGCTTGTGGGGAAGAAGGACTGAAATGGATTTATTTTTCAATTAGATTATGAGAGACAGAACCAGTATCCAAGCAGAGTAGAAGATGATGATCAGAATAATGCAAATGAGCAACAGGACCCAGAGCTGGAGTACCAGTCAGAGAATGAGCAAAACGAAGAACCAGTAAGTGGCAGTAGTACCATCAAGGCTGCTTCTCAGCAACTTTTCAAGAGAAACAGATTCTTTTCTAGCTAATGTATTCAATCAATCAATCAATCAATCAATTTAAACCCATTCTGTACCCAAAAAAGAGTTGATAAACTGAAATAACAGAACTAACTTGAATAGCAATAACAATAGCACTCTTAGACTGATATACCGTCCCATAGGGCTTTGCAGCATTCTCCGGGAGGTATACAATGTCAGCATATTGCCCCCAACACTCAGTGTCTTCAGAAGGATGGAAGGTTGAGTCAACCTTGAGCCCTGTCAGGATTGAACTTTAAGCTGTGTTCAGATTTTGCTTGCAACTCTGCATTCTGAACAGTGTGCTTGAATGTAGTTGGAATAGAGTAGTTAAGAAGTGTGTATGTCTCTGTGGATGCTAAAGCAACAAGAATAGGTCAAGAATGAATGGGTGATGAATGAGCATGAACTAAATAGAAAAGTGAATGACCAGTACAAAAATGTGGAGGTCCCTTGATCATATAGAGAAGATGTATGAGGATCAGTTATAAAACAAATATATTCCTTTTGTCGCTACTGGTAGTCCTTAACTTATGACCATAATTGAAACCATAGGTTGTTGCGATTGTTAAGCATATCACCGTGTGACTGGACCCGATTTTATATCATTTCTTGCAGCAATGATTAAGCAAACATCATGGTTGTTAAGTGAAGCAATTTTACCCAATTTGCATTTTTATTGTAAACTGGGAGCAAATGCTGGAAACTGGCAAAAAAAACCCACTGAAAATCACTGTCACATAACTGTGAGATGCTGCAACAATCACAAAAATGAGCTGATTACCAAGCACCCAAAAATGTGATCATCTGGGTGCAGTCATTGTAACTTCAAAATTGAGTCATAAATAACTATTGGGGAGTCTGCCATAACTTCAAACAGTCTCTAATCAAAGATTACCTGTACTTCTCACCGTCCTGTGCTTTATATAATACTACTTATCTCAAGAGAGAATATGTATTTGTGTTTGTATGATTGCATACACAATAGCAGTTTGTATTACAGAAATATGTTATAGAAAAAGAAAACAGCCAAACTCAGAGAGCACCAAGGACCCCTTATTTCAACCCTGAGCTACAAATATTCTCCTTTATCGGGAGACATACGTTAATTCTTTTCCAGAAAGGGGTAAACATAAAGCTGGTCAGGCCTGAAGTCATGATAATTTTAAGAAGTTTGGGGAAAACAAAAATTAGAACAATGATTGCCAGTTACCCATACAACATCCCACTACTGAGCTTCACAGTCTTGTTATAAAAACAAAAAAGAACAGTATGTCTAGAGGTGAAGGATCTTGATGCATTATGAAAAGAAAAAGTATCTTTAGACTCTTTTCTCCAGGGACTGTTTTTGGGAAAAAGTAAAGAAGAGCTGTGTATGAGAGTGTTTAAATAATACTAAGTGAATTCCATCGGAGTGCCTTTTGATTTCAGCAAAGATGTGTATCACATTTTTCTAAATAAATGCCAATTCAAGGGAAAAGACTATAAAAAGAGTCTATTATAGAGTCTTCAGAATGCCATCCAGGAATATATATGGGTATAAAACCAATAGCAGGGGCATTGAGGGCATGAGGTAGTTACTTTCTTAAATACCCAATCATGTCTTTGAAAAAAAGAGATTGGACAGCCGTTTGTCTGAAATGCTATAGGTCAGGATTTCCTGCTTGAGCAGGGGGTTGGACTAGAAGACCTCCAATTCTCTTCCAATTCTGTTATTCTTTTAAGCATGAGATTTCATCCTGGCTTGCATGTTTATAGTTCAGTAGCTATAATAATTTCCAAGATCAAGCTTACACTATATTAACTTACAGGATGAAAATCTATGTTGAGAAGAGATGAATCTAGATGACTTTAATGCATTATGGGCTTACCTATCTTCTGTTGTTATAATTGTACTCATGAAGACTAATTTGCAAGATGAGAAGACAGAACCAATCTAACAGAATGAATTACTCTAACAGCAAAACAAATCATGCAATGAGTGGACTTGACCTTCAAGTCTATTTACATATCAAGCAAAGCCACAATTTTATTTACATGACATAATTTCTGAGCTCAAACAGCAAACTAAGCCTATATCAAATAAACCATTTTCTGATTTTCCATGATGAGTGAACCAACCTGTGTTTGGTCATAAAGCCTACTGAGTGATTTTGGGACAGTGTTTCAAATATCCTGTCTATAAGCTATAAATAATAGTTTAGAATCATAATGGCTAGGTTATTACGTTTTGCAAAATCAATATCAAGCTTTAACCACATGGTTTAATCCAATATATGAACCCCATTATTATTTTAGTATTACCTGTTTTTCAAGGATTTTTGAAGAAAAAGTTTTTCAATTTTTGTGGGATTTTTTAAAAAAACAAGTTAGCTATTGTACTGTATGTGCATATCACAACATAGCAACTGGGTGAGAGGTTTGTGGCTGCCATACTATAGAGCCCATCCATTATCCTAAATCTTGCTTGTGGTCATGCACAAGATTCCTGAAGAGAACGTGGACTATAGTACTCATTATCCCCAAACAGCAATTGTATCCAAAATATTTGCAGGGCACCCTTTTTTAAAAATGTTTACAGCGCTCTTATTATACAAATAAGATGAGTAACGTACCTTATTTCCTGAAAGGAATTTGTACCTGAATTTACTTTCTGTTCTGCTTGCTTACCGTTTTTTTTTTTAAAGCTAATTTATCAATATATTTCATACTGCCTTCATCTGTGTATTTATCCTGCTGACATATTGTATTTTTCTTCTAATGGAAGAAAAAGCAGAATATAAATTTCTACATTGAACATATTATACAGGTTTTATGTTGAAAGAATATAAATATAGAATGCATTTCTGTATTACTAGGGTATATCCAGAAAGTGCTAGTTAGTTCATAATATGTTAAACCTAAGTGACGGTGGTGGTATTGTAGTGAAATATATATTGTTGTTGAATATTTTTTTTTCACTTCATCTTGTAAATGAAGAAGACAGTCATGGATGATATCAACCCAGCTGATGATCCCAACAACCAGGGAGAAGATGAATTTGAAGAAGCAGAGCAAGAGAGGGAAGAAAATCTCCCTGAAGAGAATAAAGAGCTAAAACCAAATAACCAGAAACAAGTGAATTCTGAAATGGAAGACCATTTGGTGGTGAGTCAGTGAAGCCAATGGCTTTGTTCATGAATTGATTGTAATTTCAAGTGTTTTCATACATGGGTGAAATAATCCTTGCAAATATAAGATAGATAAGATAGCCTTTATTATCCTTTTTTTACTGTGAGCACACTGGCACATATTAAAAATAAAATTCTGCTGCCTACTCTCAAAAGAAAGTATATATCAACTCATATACATACTTAACACACATATATACATGCTATATAAATGTTTAAAATAAAATGAGCACCAAGGTAGTTAAAACTATAAAAGTTTAATTTAAAAACGCCAAGCTTTCGCCGTCACCTGCCGGCATCATCAGGGCTTAAAACGCCAGAGAGTGGGAGAGTCTCTTATAAGCAAGCCCGAGTCTGCGCCCGGCTCCTTGATCTCGTTATCGGACCTAATTGGATAGATTGTACTCCGGTGATCCGTTTCTTCCTGCACCCTTTATCTACGTGTATCTCCTCATTTGCGTTCTTTTCCTTGGATTCTAGGGTTTTAAGCCCTGATGATGCCGGCAGGTGACGGCAAAAGCTTGGCGTTTTTAAATTAAACTTCTATAGTTTTAACTACCTTGGTGCTCATTTTATTTTAAATATGAATATACCCAGGGTTCATATTTTTAATATTATTACTCATGCTATATAAATGTATATATACATATATACACACACACACACAAACACACACATACACACATATACCTATATCCATACATATATATAGTAATCATTGAGTACATAGCGGAAAGAGGAAGCTTGAGAGTTCACATAGTTGATGCTATATGGAACAAAACCGTGACTGAATCTGGATGTTCTGCTTCAGATACCACAAAGCTTCTTCCCAAAAGGCAACCAGAAAAATAGGTAGTGAAGAGGATGTGTAGCATCCCAGACAATACTGTGGACCCTGCTCAAGCATCACTTATGTGCCGTGACCTGAATAGAAGGAAGTGAACTACCAATAATCTTTTCTGCCACCCTCACCACTCTCTGTACCGCCTTTCTGTCTGAAGCAGTAATGCTTCCAAACCAGACAGTAATGCAATATGACAAAATGCTCTCAATTGTCCTTCTATAGAAAATGGAAATGATACAAAAAATGCAGGCACTACTGTGCCTTTTCTGTGTCACATGAGAAAAATACATCTTCCTTCCCCTGTCCTTACCACTTTTTATAGAGGGACAATTGAAAGCATGGTGTCATATTGCATTACTGTCTGGTTTGAAAGCATTACTGCTTCAGACAGGAAGGCGGTGCGGAGAATGGTGAGGATGGCAGAAAAAAATATTGGTAGTTCACTTCCTTCTATTCAGGACACGGCATATAAGCCATGCTTGAGCAGGGTCCACAGTATTGTCTGGGACGCTACACGTACTCTTCACTACCTGTTTTCCTTATAAGGTGCAGTAAGTGCATTATAACATCTTAAAACTCATCTGCTGGTCATTCTAGACAGCTACTAGAAAAATTTAGATTTCCTATTGTGATAGCATTGAAAATTTCTAAACTCAATCTCAGGAGTCTTCCATCTTCTGTTCATTCACATCTTGCCTTCTGCTCAACTTCATGTTACCAAACACCCTTGTGCATCTTTGATGAAGAGCAGGACACCAAAGGAATCTGGATGCAATGGTACGGATCATTGCATTAGATCTCCTTTTTGATTTATGCTCCATGCACATGAGCATCTGTGAGCATCTATAGCTTGAACAGAGAGAGGGGGAAAGGATGTAGTGAAAAAAATCAATAAAGGAGAATAGAAATTGAAGGAAGCTATACCTACAAATGATTTCTGAGAACTTCAGAAATCCAAAAGGGGAAAAATTGCAAAACATCAGCACTCTGTTGTCAAACTGTGCCAGGTATTAGAATCACAAAACAAAGGGAGATATGGGAAAATCTCTTTCCTTGTGTTAGACATGAATATCAATATAGTACCCAGTAGTAAACTGCATGAATGAAAGCAATGTTCTCAGATGATTCTGTTGATACATCAATCTGCCAACCAGCAAGTACACAAAAAACATGTAAGACAGTCTTTCCTAATGTAGTATCATCAAGATATATTGAATTATAGTTTCCAGAATTTTCAGTTGGCATGATCAACAATATATGGGGAAATTTAGTTTTATCTGTATAAAACTATTTCCCTCTCTCTTCCTATACAAGCTTCTGCTTCTGATTTTATGCAGTACAATATGATATATTTTCTGTACCTAAAATGAAAGTTAAACTTGGGTCACACATCACACAAAGACATTTTGTATTTTGTTTGGTTTGATTAACAGTTTGTGTAAACTCAAGTGTTCTGGTTTGTAAGTTTTGGATTATGGCTTAGGTTGTATGACTCTAGTTAGTTGGGGTATATTCAATAAACCACAGCTTAGCACAATCTCTAAACCTGTTCCTATGGCCCAATTCTGACAAAATGGCAAACAATTTTAATGAAAAATGATGCTTTGATGATACAATCAAATTATCATTTTTTATGTGCAATGTACATAAATAGGAAGAGCTTCAGTTACACTGTTGAGGCAGATATCTTGATGGATTTTGCTGTTGCTTATTTTTATTTATCTATCAAATTTTAATAATAATACTAATAATACTAATAATAATAATAATAATAATAATAATAATAATAAAGTTGGAAGGGACTTTGGAGGTCATTGAGTCCAACCCCCTGCTCATGCAGGAAACCCTACACCATTTTGGACAAATGGAAGCTCGGGGGTTGTACAAATAAAGTATTAAAACATAAAAACAGTACACAACATTTAAAAAGAGGCACAGAACAATGTTAAAAGTTAATTAAAAGGACTTTCTAAATGCTAACCAGTCCCACAGCTGTGTGCACCACTATGAGTCCCAAACATGGGCGCAGAGCCATGTTTTCATGCCTTTCCAGAAGGCCAGGAGAGTAGGATCCACCTCACCTTTTGGGGGAGAATATGTTCCACAAGGCAGAGGCAGTGGCAGAGAAAACTCAGTTCCTGGACCCCACTAGTCAGTATTGTTTGGCTGATGGAGTCCACAACTTACCTTCCTGTCCTCATTGGGTGGGACAGACTGATGTGATGAGATGAAGACAGTACTAAAGGTAACCTAGCCCTGTGCCATGCAGGATTGTAAAGGTGATAATCAAAATATTGAATTGAATCCTGAAGCAAACTGACATCCAATGCAACTTATGCTGCAAAGGTGTCAACATGCACCATTTTTGGACATGCATCTGTATTCTTTACCAGCGGAAGTTTCCAGATACTTTTCAAGGGTAACCTCATGTAGAGTATGTTTGTTTACCATAATCTCCAGATACCCCAAGGGGGAAAGCATGAGTCCCAACCTTGTTCATGAAGTAATTATCTATGATGCAATGCTTTTTAACAGTATAACCAGTACATACAGGGATTTTCCAGTTACCAAATAACTAAAATTCTTTTGAACTCCCTTTGTGAAACCACTATATACATATTATTAGCATTTGAATGTGCTACTTTTTGTATGATGAAATTTTTTTGTATTTCTTTAGAATATTTTCTCACTTTTCTTGACCAACTCAAAAGCCATTTAAAAATAAATAGAAATCAAAACAACCCTAAGACATAATAAAATTATGTTTTTTAGTTTTAGAAAAGCAGCAACATATAATAAAGCTCAATTTATTAAATCACCAGAAACTTGCCTGAACAATATGATATGAACACATCAATTAAATTCCAATACAAGAGAATATATGTAGCTCAGGGTTGAATTGTGGAGTCCTTTGGTGCTCTTTGAGCTTTTGATCGACTGATGAGGTTACCTAGGAAATATCTGCAAGTAAACAGCCAAGCTCAGAAAACACTAAGGACTCCACATCAATTAAATGAATCGTTTTAATGTTTTATCAGAATATCTTGGAGAAAGGGGTTTCATAACAGAGGGTTGAACATCAGAAAATGTATTTTTCATGTCAGACTTCTGACATTTTTCTTTTCAGTAAAAACTAAAATATATTAACATCTTCTTAAAACCATAATTGAAATAAGGCATCCTTAATTCGTATGCCTTTCTTAATTAAGAACTTGGGAGTAACCTATGCTCCCAAGTGGAGTAATCCACTTATAGCCAATGATAATAGAGGAACACGTTTGGAACACATCAAGATGGCGGGGGCTATCTTTTTTTTTTCTGCCCTTAGAAATTGCTGATGGTGTTGAGCTGTTTTGGCAAAATATATCCTGAACATCTTTTCCCAAGAATAGGGGCTAAAACTCTATCACCTTTAAACAGAGTTACAAATTCCTTCTGCAAATTGACCACGTTCATGGTGATGTCATGTCACAAATCTCACCTTGACTTTTTCTCCAAAGCACCTGAATGTAGAACAAACACCGGCAGTCGACGTGATGTGCCGGTGCCTGGAAGATGTGAGGGTCTGGATGGGGGTGAACAGGCTTAGACTCAACCCTCACAAGACCGAGTGGCTCTGGGTCTTGTCTCCCAAAGGTCAACTGGATGGTCCATCATTAGTCCTGGGGGAGACAAATTTACCTCCCTCAGTGCAGGCACGCAACTTGGGTGTCCTCCTGGACTCACAGCTAAATTTGGAACAACATCTATCGGCTGTGGCCAGGGGGACCTTTGCCCAGGTTCGCCTGGTGCACCAGTTGCGGCCTTATTTGGACCGAGAGGCTTTACTCACAGTCACTCATGCCCTTGTCACCTCAAGACTGGATTACTGTAATGCGCTCTACATGGGGCTACCCTTGAAGAGCGTTCGGAAGCTGCAGTTGGTTCAGAATGCAGCCGCGAGAGCGATTGTGGGCGCGCCAAGGTACGCCCACGTGTCACCTATCCTCTGCGAGCTGCACTGGCTTCCTGTGGGTCTCCGGACGCAATTCAAGGTGTTGGTTATCACCTTTAAAGCCCTTCATGGCATAGGGCCAGGTTACTTACAGGACCGCATTCTGCCGCACAGTTCCCAGAGACCGGTGAGGTCCCATAGATTGGGCCTCCTTCAGGTCCCATCGGCCAGACAATGTCGGCTGGCGGGCCCTCGGGGAAGGGCCTTTTCTGTGGTGGCTCCGACCTGGTGGAATCAACTTCCCCCCGAGGTTCGAACAACTCCCACCCTGCTGGCCTTTAAGAAAGCCGTTAAAACTCTCCTGTTCCGGCAGGCCTGGGGCTGATGTCCCCGGGGGGGGGGGCGGGATATGATGGGACTCGCGGTATGATTGTATTATTTTATTGTTTTATTGTTAGATGATTGTTTTAATTTTGTACGCCGCCCTGAGTCCTTTGGGATTGGGCGGCATATAAATAAAATTAAATAAATAAATAAAATGGATGGAAAGTAATCAAGAAGAAAATCAACCTAGAACTAAGGAGAAATTTCCTGGCAGTTCGAACAGTTAGTCAATGGAACAACTTGCCTCCAGAAGTTGTGGGTTCTCCAACACTGGAGGTTTTAAAGAAGAGATGGATAACCATTTGTCTGAAATGGTGTAGGGTTTCCTATTTGAGCAGGGGTTTCTATTAGAAAACTTCCAAGGTCCCTTCAAACTCTACTATTTTGTTACATCCTGTTTTTTTAGGAGAGGTGGCTCAAACATGTGCCTCTCTCTGTCCTGGCATCTATTTTATATCCTACAAAGAAGCGAAAGGTACTTGTAAGTATTTTCCGGCGTATAGGGTGACCTGGCGTATAAGACGACCCCTGACTTCGGTGCCGAGTTGCATGCCTAGAAAGTCGTCTTATACGCCAGAAACTACCATAATTTCTGGCGTATAAGACGACTCGGCGTATAAGACGACCCCCACTTCAGTGCCGATTTCAATGCTTTAGAAAGTCATCTTATACGCCGGAAAGTATGGTACCCTCAGAAAGCTAAGCTACCCTTTGCCAGAGACCTCTTGTAGATCAGTTCTTTTCTGTCTTTGGGTGGTTGAAGAGAAATTTTATCAGGAAAATGGGTTTTTTTTAAAGCCCTGATGGGGTTAAAGTATTAATGTATTATTTTCTCTCCTCAAACACTCGTCCAAGATATCATGTACCCACTTTTGCAGAGTGGCCCTCTATATGAGATTCTGTGGCCCTTGAATCAACAGGACTGGCTTATTCCTGGTCTAAATAATCAAAATTACTTTTTGAATATTTGTTATTGTTGAAATACATTACGAACACTGTTTAAAAGCATTAGCGGATATTGATGATAGCTTAAAATGTGTTTTTTTTTTACAGGGAGACATTGCATTTGAAGGTAGAAATGCTTAATTTAGCATCTATGTTTCTGATGTTTTAAAAAATATGTTAAAAAGAGCATTGATTTTCTTTCTCCTGCTCAACTTTGATTCTCCTAATACACATAAGCCAGCATTATAATGTCTAGACCAGGGGTAGTCAACCTTGGCTCTTTTATGACTCGGGGACTTCAACTCCCAGAATTCTGGGAATTGAAGTCCATGAGTCATAAAAGAGCCAAGGTTGACTACCCCTGGTCTAGACAATAAACGTTAATTTATTCTTGTCCTCTAGATAAATTCATTAGAAAGATAGAGATCAAGAGAAAGAGAGAAGCATTTAAGAATAAATATTGAATTAAGCAAGCTTGCTTCCAAACACTGTATCCGCCTTTCACATCACTGAAAGAGTTTAGAAATGGAAAGTATCTTAGAATGTATTGTTTACCAAAAATATCCATATCATTTACTCAAGCATGAATATAATATTAATATAATTGTAAAGCATGAATATAATATTAATATAATTGTAGTTATAATTGCTATGTTCCATATTCTTAAGCATTGACCAGATAAATTGTATTTTATACTATCCATACTCAGCGGTGACTTTCAGTACATTTCTAAATAATAATAGTTTATTAAATGTATATTTCATCTGACACCCAGTGACTCTGGGCAATCTAATTGCTTCCAGATTATGTTTTTTTTTTTTTAAAGAAAGAAATACAAAAGTTTCAACACATTTTGGTCACAGTTGCGATTTGGAAGGTTTCTTCACAGTTTCTTCTTGTGTTCCAGTTGTAAGCGTTCCTTCATCAGGTTATGAGTGACTCATAGTCACTCGTGCCTTGGTCAACTTTCATTTGGACTACTAACGAAGGAGAATATTTGTAGTTCAGGACTGAAATGAGGGGGTCTTGTTAGCACTGATGATGTTATCTAGCTTAGCCGATGAAGCGTCTGCAAGAAAACATTCAAGCTCAGAGAGCACCAAGGACCCCTCATTTGGACTCAGTTTACATGGGGCTGTCTTTGAACACACTCTGAACCCACAACTAGTCCAGAACATAGAACTCAGAGAGTTAGAGGCAATTTATTCATTCAATACCATTTTTGTGAGAGCGGATCAGGTTACCTTTTTGGTTTCCAGGTACAACTAAATGTGTTCATGGTTCATGTAAATCTCTTCATAGCTTTGGCCTTGAATGTCTTCTGGAATGTCTTCTCCCAGTGGCCTTTTGTAACTTGAAGAGATCTATGAGGACGGACTCATTCTGGATCTGGGTCCCTCCATCTGGAGGTCTGCCCTGCCTCCGTGGCCCCAGTTTTCTGGAATAACATATCTGCAGAGAACATAACATTCCCACCATTCTTGGGTTTCTATAAACCATTGAAATCTGGCTGTTTGAAGCCTTTTGATTCTGAAGGATGGTGAATGTTAGTTGGCTAACTGATATTCCCAGTTCTCAGATTTCTGCATTTTTTAAAACAGGTCTTAGTCTAAATGAATGACAAAAAAAAACCCTACATTTATTTTTTCATAAAAACTTTGCCAAAATATTTTAATGTGAATCTAAAATTAAAATTTAGTGCAAATGTTAATGCAAAATGATAAGCATTTAACACCCTGTATTTTTAGCTGAGAAATATTTCAAAGGGTAGGCTAAAGAGCTCAGTGAATTATATGCTCATTTGTACCGCAACAGATTCTGTTTTGGCAGACAAAGCTTCTTTGCTTGAAAAGATATCCATGATAGATATTTCCAGCATCCCTACATTAAACCATGTATCAGTTTGTTTTATGGCCCTGTGTGTATCAAACTATTCCAGATCTTTCAACCACAGTTAATAGACTGACCAAACTTATGTCTGTGCAGTTCTCAGTGATATGTGAGCTTTCAGATTTAAGTCTTTGCAATAGCCCAGCCTATCTATAGTTTTGCCTGCCCTTTATTTTTTTTAAAAAAAGTTAATACTTATTTTCTGAGTTCTGGAGCTGCAGGAGTAATAGCAGCAGAATCGGTTTGATTTATCTGCAGGTGGTGGGCAATCCGGATCAACAGGAAGACAATGTGGATGAGCAGTACCAGGAAGAGGGAGAAGAAGAGGTAAATAACCTTAAATTATGAATCCTACTTCACAGGTTTATTGTGAGGGTAACATATGGCAGTGGGTTGAATTTATGTGTCTTGTGCTTCTTGGAGGAAGGGCAGGCTGAATGATGAAATATATTACAGAAAAAGCTGCAATAATATATTTGAGTGGAACCCTAAGTCCATAATTCTGATGTGGCAGCTGTACAATGTAATTTATAGGCCACAGATAGTTTCTGCAAAAAAGGACAAGCTATACTACTAAAACAGTACGTAACCCATAGAAGTATTTCTTCTACTCATAATTCTGTTGGACTAGCCAACAGGATTATAACTGCCAGGAAACTTTATGGCTGGAAATTCTTAGAACTTTATTCTAAGATATTAAAAAAGAAAATTAGTTTTTTTAAAAATTAAATTTATTTATTTAATCTTACCCAATAGGTGCAATATAGACCAAATGACTACTTTATCTTCTATAATCACTTAGTTCTTAAATATGTGTATTTTTAATAGGCCCAAGGAGATCTACCCGAAGAGAAGAAAAGGGGGCTGGAACACAATGGTGAAGATCCATATGGTGAAAATGATGAAAATGTAAGCACTGCACAATTAAATAATGAAGTGGAGAAGGTCCTATCATGGGAAATGGACTTGGATCTAAAATGTTGTGCTTTATCCATTGAATCTCTTAACTATTACTCTTTCTGCCTAGGAAAAACAAATGTATTCTACTAAAAGCAAATGGGTCTTAATCAGTGTTTGATCTGACGAACACTTTGGAGCCTCATACTAGCTTTTTAGAACTTTTACAAACACGACAGATGCCAAATTCAGCAGAATCAATGATATAGCCCTTGTGGGGAAAAAAAAAAAGAAGTGACTACAAATTAGACTGTAGTGAAACCAGAATGAATACCAGGATTACCTGTGAAAATTGCACAGCATTAATAAAATGCTAACAAACGGTCCATTAGGGCGAGGGGATGCAAGTTTTTTCAAACCAAGGTTGCACTTGGCTTTTGATCACCATCCTTTCCAAGTAGGAAGCTCAGGAGAAAGTAGAAAATGACTTTATTTTTAAATAAAATTGACATTAGTATTAATTAAATAATAGATAACAGGATTGCATTTAATCATTTTGTTATGATTTCACAGTAACTTTGAGTGGAGTTTTGAGGATCCTATTAGAAGGGTTAGGTTGGATGACTCCAGCACCTATTTTATTTTATTTTATTTTATTTTATTTTATTTTATTATTTTATATTATATTTTTATTTTATTTTATTTTATTATTTTTTATTTCTCAAATGAAAATTACAAATTCAAATGAGTGAAATAAAAAATTAAAGTGTGATAGGAAGAATAGGCAACATTAGTGTACTTATGTACACCCCCTTAGGGACCTCTTATATATGGGGTGAGGTCCACAGAAGTTAAGTTAGAAATAAAGCTATGAAAGTTGGTGGCTGAGACAACTGAACTGGGTAAGATTATGTAATTTAGAAGCGACACAGTATGCATACTTCTGTTTCACCTTTAAAGTTGTAGGATGCTAATATCATTATGTATATCCCTTTGAATTTTCTCTTATTTCCAGGGGAGGGAAGAAATTCCCTCTACTTTGCTGTAACAATTAGAATACTATAGAATTTAATCTATAAAATGGTGCAGTGGTGGCGCGGTGTTTAGAAAGCAGTACTGCAGGCTAATTCTGCTGACTCTTGGCTGCCAGCAGTTCGAGTCTCACTGGCTCAAAGTTGACTCAGCCTTCCATCCTTCAGAGGCGGTAAAATGAGGACCCAGATAGTTGGGGGCAATAGGCTGACTCTGTAAACCGCTTAGAGAGAGCTGTAAAGCACTGTAAAGCAGTATATAAGTCTAAGTGCTATTACTATTAGCTTTTCTTTCCAAAATTTTTGTTTGTTTATTTTTTCAAGTTGTGTTCTGAAATCATCTCTCTCTTTCAACAATTTTGGATTTCCAGGCTGAAGAAAAAATGAGCGAAGGGGTTGATCAAGAAGAAGATATTCAGGAAGGGAAGCAACAGAAAGAAGGACATGATGAAAACTATGAGGAAGAAGAAGAGGAAGAAGAAGAAGAAGGTGGTCCTGTTGCAGTAAAAGCCCACAGACGAGGGGAAATGTAATCCTGGGATGGTTTCCTGACATTAAAAAGGGACAAGGGGGAGAGCAAAATTGTGTAGGTGCTAGAGAAAGAAAAGATGAGCCTTTTAACAAAAATGAATATATTATATTTTTTTTATTGAAACTGCATTTATATGAATATAGTATTTTTAGGTTGCATTCTTAATGTAAGTTTTATGTGACAAAAATAGAATAGAAAAGGTATTCTTTTTCTCTTAATTTTTTATGACGCTTTTTTTTAAAAAAAATGGTATATGTGTTTTTGTTTGGCATTGTCCAAATAGTGACAAGTCAAAGTATTCTTTAAGCCAATAATAAAACTAGTGCCTGAGTTTGAAACTTGAGGAAGGGCTGACTGCACCCATATCTCAATTCACTCACTTTGGTGAGTCTGCTGGTTGCCGACTTGTCCTGTGTTCATTTTGGTTACAATCCGTTTGCCGAGATGTCAATGATGCAGATGTTGTTAGCACAGATTTATGACAGCTCTGTTGGCATATGCCAAAAGGCATTGCAACAAGTGAATGCTTGAGCATGTGTCAGACCAGAGTGTTCGTTCCACTTCTATGTTTGTAGGCCAACTGTTACGAACTTTCCAGTGGCTGGCCATCATATGATACAAAATGCTAGTCTAAATGGTTATTTTTATGTTTGATCCTGCCTTATGTGCCCTAGTTCTCTCTTCAGGTGTGTTAGGATTGCAACTGGGTATAAAATTTGGGACTTAACAGCCATAACTCAACTTGATAGTATGAAGCTGAAAAGGCTGCATGAACCCAAGATTGGTTGCCATCTGTTGATGAAGATAGAATGCCCTTAGTCTTTCATTGACTTGTTTTCATTTTCTGTGAAAGCTCACATTTGAAAACAGTGGAAATTGCTTCTGAATGGACCTGTGTACATTTTTGCTATTAGAAACTCCAATCTTGTCTAGTTTAAAAGGTGATATGTATATGTGATTCTCTTCTCCCTCTGGCTTATTTGTGGTCAGTCATACTTTGTTTTTACCACCTAATTTATAAAAAGTCAGGTTTGAGATTTGAGGGTTTTTTAAAAATAACTTTCTCTCAAGGTCTTTTTATCACAATGATTCTCCCAAGGATCTGAAAACCTTCATCTTGGTTATATCAATTCAGAGTACAGGAAGTATTTTATGCATACAAAAAGCTTGTGTGTTGGGATTAGTAGAGTAGTAAAGGATTGGAAGTATATTTATATTTTTCCTTCTTGAGTACCTTGGTCCAAAAGTCCAGATGGCTGTTCTTTATTGCACTGGATTTTAGCCCAGATTTGTTAGCCCTGTCACCATCTAGCATCTGAAACAGTACAGCATAGACACAAGTTAATCACTTAATTTAGTCATGGAAAACTTTTATCCTAGTGTCTAATATACCATATGTTCTCTAGTCTATTCTACTCTACAAAGTTCTCCTTGCACACCCTTTCCATTGTCCATACCCCCGACCTTTAATCCAGTCTTCCTTGTTTAGTTTAAATTTTAAGGGATGTTTCTAGTAATCATTCTTACAAGAGATCAGATATTGTTTCCCCAGATATTCTGGTCTTAAATTGACTTTTTCCAGATGCCTGTTTTTGGGGCAACTGTGAAACATAGAGAAAGGAGCATATGGATAGCTAAAGGGAGCCTTTGGCCAACTCTCTTGCTTTATTCATGCTTGTATTTCTGACGTCAAGTTCTTAATAGCTTCTAAAATGTTCTTGGAACAACTTTATTGTTCCTTAATATTAGGAAACAGAGGCAATTTCTTTTGAATCTGTTCATCTTTAGAACTCAGATATGAAAATTGTGTATCAACTGACCAATCGGTGTCACAGATGGTAACAGAATGAAGCTTTCAAATACTCATAGCCGGTCCTGTCTTCTTCTTGCTTGGATTAATCAACAGTACCGTAAATGCCGGCGTATAAGGCGACTTCCGCGAGCGCTGAAATCGGCGCCAAAGACGGGGGTCGTCTTATACGCCGTCTTATACGCCGGAAATACTGGTAGTTTCCGGCGTATAAGACGACATTCTAGGAATGCGGCCCAGCTATAAAGATGGGGGTCATCTTATATGCCGGGTCGCCTTGTACGCCGGCATTTACGGTACTTACTTCATGTACTTACTGATGGAATAATCAATATACATTTCTATGTCTATGCACAGAAGCTAATAGTACATGCACTACCTAATGCTATAAAGGTCACAAATGTTGTACAACCACCTGGGAAGTAAAAGATTGTTCCCAAACTCCATGAACTTACCTACTCCAACACAGTAAGATGTTCTATGCAGTTCCTGGGAAGAAGCCTCTCTCCCATGCAGCAAAGCCTTGATGAAGATCCTACCCCCAAAATTTCCCTCAACTATAATTCTCCGCCTTATCTTTTGTATAAGAGAGTGAATTTCTTTCAACACACATTGGGAAAAATTCCCAAGACCAAGGTTTATTCCAAGTTTCTGCTCGCATCTAATAATGTCAGGTACGCCAATTTGATTTCATTATGTTTATGCTGGCTTTTAGCTGTCTGGTTCTTTTTCTCCCCTTATTACAGTGCACTGGGGATAGGGGATGTTTGTGATGTTTGTAACTTGCAGTATATGCACATACAGTATACACATATGCGGACCTACCTGCATCCTAGCAGATTTCAATTATTTGTGGCGGTCTTCCCTCACCTGGGCAACAGATGTTAGACTTCAGTTCCCAGAATTCCCCATCTGGCATGGCTGTTGCTGAGAATTCTAAGAGTTTGAATCAAAAGGTTGGGAAGATTCCTTCATGCACAGGTCAATTGGACATCTTCTGGAACAGAGTTTTTCAACCTTAGCAGCTTGAAAATATGTGCATTTCAACTTCCAGAATTCCCCAGGGCAGTTGAAGAATTGAAGCACACAGATCTTCAAGTTGCCAAGGTTAAGAAACAATGTTCGAGAATGTTTTTCAGAAGAATAAAACATTGTTCAGATCAGGGGTGAAATTCCACTTTATTTCCATCACAGGAAAAAATAATAATAATTCCATGCTTGAGAATCTTTCCCCTTTTTCTCTTTTAAGATACACCACAAGAACTATAATGGAACATTTCTTTTAATCTTTTTATATGAATGTAATATAATTCATTTTGTACTAACTGGATGGTAATTTACTTTTGTAAATGTTTTGAACCATATCTTTATACATTTTTAAAAAAGGATTTTGTGTTAAACATGGCATCCAATTGTATATGTATAACAATACAAAGCTGAGTTTACTAATTGAACAAAATTATCTTACAAGTGGTGAAAAAACTTCCCAGTTTACAGTTATGTAAAGTGTATAATATGTACATACCCTTTGGAATACAAATATTTTGATAAAATTCTGTGTATTTTTCATGCCTTGGGGTAGTATTTAATTTTTCTGAGGTTTTAATCGAAGACCATCAATAAATGGCAGAGTTTGAAATAATGCTGATTTTAAGGTGTGTGCTTTTTTCTTTATCTCTACTATTGTGTTGGCTGTAAGTTCAAGCAATGTGCATCATCCAAGTAGATGAATAACATTGCTTTTCAATAATCAAGTTCAAATATTCTGGGTTTTGATTCAAATCAGAAATTTTTTTATTTCTTTATATCATTTTTTAAGATTTAAGAAGCATTTGCAAACAAATGCAATAAAGTAGATGATCAAGAAAAGAGTTTATTGAATCAAGATCCACAGATGTAAATGTAGTTTTTATTAATGGGTATTTTTTATCACTGAGATACTTACTTTGTTTTTCCATAGGCTTAGTTTGTTCAGCTGATTTTAGCAATGTTTTCCTTTGACCCTATTAAAATATACTGCTTAGCATATGTACATAAACAAATAAATTTAGATTTGATTATCATGAGAGTATACATACTTTATAACACATATAGTAGATATCTCAGAAATAATAATTATTGATGCATTTTTTTTTTGTTCTTTTGAAGAACACTAGTATAAAGACTAGGGTTATTTTTATCAATTAGCAGTCAGATACAATCTCCACACTGGGGCTTCAGTTCATAGATATGACCTGTAGAGTGTTCATAGAAAGTCTTTGTGTTTGATTTTTACTACTTATACTCTCCCTTTGTCCTTTCCTTTTCATTGTTTTGTTTTTCCTCCATACCTATTTACATCCCCTCTTTCAAATATTGTTTCTTCAGCCTTGGCATAAAACATTCTCCATTATTGGCTGTTATTTTTACAAATTTCCTTTATATTGATTAATCTGGTTAATTAATAAATTAACCAAATTATATTTTAATTTAGCTGATTACTCAGCCAATACCACACAAACCACACACCTTTTAGTTACACTTGTGTCTTCAAGCAGAATATAAACACAACTAAACGTAAAAGTAACTTCATGGAGTTGAGAAGAATATATTTCTTTGACTCATCACTTGGATCTTTCCTTATCCAATTCCATCTTGTTAATAGATTATTTGAGTTTAACCTTTGGCAATGAGCTAATTTGCCTCTGTATTCCAGTCTATGGAGCGCTGCATACCAATACAAGCTACTCAGTGCAAGTCACAACCTCTAATGAGAGATACTGTTACCTATCTTTATATTCCAATTTAACTATAGAAATGTATATGTTGATACAAACTATTACCTGTGTGGTTGATAATCTTAGTTAATAGACAGTATTATTTCTCTGTACCTTAAATAGGAAAATCTACTTGCTGAAAGAAGCCTCTTCTGTACCATATTACAATATTTCCCTGTGCTGGGCTGAACTAAAGGAATTGCTTTGTTTTAGCTTTGGTGCAATATTTCTTCAAATCTCCTATTTGCTATCCTGTTATGCTAAATGTTTATGATGATTGTGTGGATAAGCATTGTTTGTAAAGGTTTCTGTTAAAGTTAGAGCATTGGCATTTCAACGCCAATCATTTGAAATGTAAGGCTACCAAGTTTCCAATATTTTTCCGCACAAGTAGAGTGTAGCATCAAAGCTATGGTTCTGTTTTTACCTTCTGAACATGTCCATTGAAAAACTGGGTGTTATTTCCAAATAGGTATTGTAGGAAGATGGTAGTCTCATTTTGCAGAGGAAACAAATGTTTTTCTTGTTGTATTTTTATTTTTTTTCTGCAAGCTATATGAGAATAACAGATAAATGAAGATTGACTATGACTCTCTCTATGAGGTTCTCTTCCATCAATTCTTCCCAGGAGAGATGAAATGGAGGGAGATTTTGGAAGGACTTTAAGCCAAATAGTCTTCCATCCAGAACTGGAAATTTAAAAGATAGAATTAAAATGTGGGGAAAATGCAATGAAAGCTAATAGAATCAAATAAAATTCCTAAGTATCCAGAGTAAAAATAAGATGCCGATCGTTATGGAAGAGATTAAATAAATACTGCTATAAAAGTATTTTTTCACACAGTAGTTTGGATTAATTCACACAACTGCACAGATGACTGCTTAATCAATTTTTGCATTTTTTAAAATTCTGAATATGCACTTTTGCTTACTTGGTACATAAATACAGTACCGGTACTTATTCTAATAGTTGAAATTCTTACAGAAGTTGGAAACCAAACACAAAACAAAAATACTATCTTAATTTATCTGCTTCTTCTGTCAACTTTTAGGATCTTTTCCTTTTTAAAAATCATCTACCATTTTACAGGGAGTTTATACAACTCTTTTAAAAATCGTAGAAATTAGAATATAAAAATACCCCAAATTTCAGAAAAATCAGATGCATTTCACAAAAGGTTGTGGGAATATGGAAGAAAGTAAACACATCTTGACTGCAACTAGACAATCCTGCAAATAGACATAGCTGTTTTTCATGAGACACCTGAATAAGCACCCTAATAAAAAGGCATCTGTCACAGTAAAGCAAAATGAACCTGCTGTTTTTATTGGAATTCAAATGCCACTATATTCCACCCAAATCCTGGAATATAAAAGAGGTTACTAGCATGCTACACATGAAAGTAAAGATTTCTATGGAGAAGAGAGAGCTAAGCTTGTATGCATTTTATTGCTTTTAAGAGAATCTAGCTGTAGGAAATACATTGATCTGTTTTAAACCTCAGCTTTAATAGGCTCCATTCAATTTACTAAGAAACAGAAAATGTATTTAAACCGTTATGATGGCAGTAAGGCATAAACTGTAACTTGGGCCCCAGGGCCATATATATTCCCTCCAATCTTTAGGTATTTATTCCAGAATCCTCCAAAGCTTGCTATCAAATTATAATTTGTACATGTGAAAGAAAAGGAAGAAAAATACTATATGTTTAATAATAATTGTTAATCTATTGGAATTATAGAATCTTGCAATTTATTTATGTAGAGGTGAAAGATTGCAACTAGTTTTCAAAAGCTGTTTGAACTGTAGATTGTAACTTAACTTTATTCTTATTCTTAACTGCTTTGGAAGCCTCTGTCAAGCCAGGCAACATATAACATATTTCAAATAGAATAAATAATTTTATGATCTATTAACACAATGAAAGAATAACTATAGTAATTCTCATCCACCCTAAAGTAGTCCTCATTTTATTCAGATGGAAGCAATTTTTACTTCCACAGCTGAAGAAGCAAATAATTTTATATGAGCTTGAAATTGTTTGGATTCATGTGTCTGGATATAGCCCATGTTTTCTGCTAAGAAATGCCATTTTAATTCCGGCAATTCTTGCGAGCCGGATTGTGTAAGAATAACACTGGACACACTGTTTGAAGAGGAAGCAGGTAATTTTATTTGAGAGCATTGAAACAGCACTAGAAGGTAGCTACAATAGGAGTACAGAGACTAGAAATATGTATAGGAGAGGTTGTTCTTGGTGCATGTGTGAATGTGCCCACTGTAATGCTTAATTTGGTGGATGTCCAGTTCTGGTGGAAATGTTCTTATCTTACTTTTCTGGTGTAGATGTTTTTCTTTGATATGTTGCTATGTAGTGGCTTTGGTTGCCATCTCTATGTACCCAGGGAAACTCTGTATTGTGAAAGGATTTTCGCTGTCTGTTATTAATTGTGCAGGTTAATTAATTTAGTCTGGTCATTAATTATCAGAGGAGGAAGTGGATTAGTGATCTTTGCAAAATGGTTTTCCAGTTTCAGTTACTTGTGGCTCATATTAATGATTGAAAGGAAAGTCAGAGACAATGTAGGAATAAATCTAATTTTGAATTAAAATTCTTTCCACAATTACTTAAATTCTTCTCACATTAAGAAAAGGAGTTTATTGTGTTCATAAGCACAGATTAACTTTCCAGTCTTTTATAACCACAGCTTATAGAAATTTATCATGCAATAGCTCTAAGAATATATTTTGATTGGGGATGAAGGTGGAATATAGCTTGTATCTATTTTAAAAAGTTTAAACATATCCCGAACATTTATCTAGTCAACCCTTCAGCTGTTTTCACTGATATATTTATTCAAAGTCCCTCCAGGAGAGCCTGCAGAAATTTCAGAGCAATAGAATAATGCATATCACAATACCATAAATGATGACTAGAAATAATTTATTGCTAGGGAGATCTTGACTTACAACCATAACTGAGCTTGGAAATATAGTAATAAATTTTGGCAGTCATTAGGTTGTTCATGGAGTGACCATGCCCAATTTTACAAAATTTTTCAGGTAGTCTTAAAGTGAATGCTGCAGTCATTAAACAAACACCATGATGGTTGAGTGAATCCATTATCCACAATGGTCACTTTTTGCCAGAAACCAAGACTAAACAACAGTCATCAAAAAGTTGACAGGTAAATGACCACAGGACAGTGCAAACAATCATAAATGCAGACCAATTGTCGAGCACCCAAAAGGCAATTGTGTTATAATAGGAGTGACTTGGCTGTAGGAACTTTGAATCCATTCTTAGTGGCAAGGTACATTGTCAAGGACTACCTATATATAGGAATCTTTTCAAACCTGATGATCTACAGATACTTCAGGATAATATTTCCAGCATGGAAGACAGGACTTGCAAACTCAAAGATTTATGAGCACCCAGTTGCAGTAGACTGAGGTATAGAATCATCTATATTTCACATGCAAAAATGTTTTATAATGATGTTGTTGTTGTTGATGATGATGATATTATGCCTTCAGTTGTGTCTGACTCTTGACGATTCCATACGCCATGTCTCTCCGTGTCTTCTGATCTTGCACTACTTTGAATTGTTCTTTGCTCTGGCTGGTGTCTGCTTTGATGGTGTCCTGCCTTCGTGTTCTTTGGTGGCCTGGTTTCCTTTTACACTAACTCTTCCAAAGATAATTGCTTTCTCCAGTGAATTCCCCCACATGACAAGGTCAAAATAAGTGAGACACAGTTTTGTGATTTTTGCCTTCCAGTGACATGTATGGTGTTATGCACTCCAGTACTTCCTTGTTATCCACCCTTGCTGTGCAAGTAATGTGCAGGAGTCTTCTTCAGTACCACAACTCAAAGGAGTCGAT